ATAAGATTAAATAAATAAGATTTCAACTTCTTTTTCTTAAATAAATATAATTATATTTTATTTCTATATTGATGATATTACTCAACAGGGGCGTAATGGCCATGCTGGGGCCTCGTGAGAAAATATTTTCTCTTATAAAGACTTCGCCTCCATACTCCCCATTTGTTGGCCTTTAGCCTGCTTTTACCAGGCCGTCGGCCGAGCCCCCCCCCCTTTAATGGCTTATTTATATTATATATATTTTAGCAATTTCTTGTTTCCTCGGACAAAAACATATGGAAAAAGATAGGTTAACCACAACAATTATCACATTTTAGTTTCTCAAATAGAATTTAAATTAATTAATTGAACGAATATTATACAATCTTTTTTCAACGGGCATCGACAAAAATACCTCCAATTAATCCTGCCCCAGATATGCCCTCGACATATATTTTTTATAGTATTAAATTTACTAGATTTACTTTCACAATTTACAATGTTGGAAAAAATTTATTAATACGTGCAGCTGTGTGCAGAGTTGGGCAAAAAGTTACAAATAGGGTTACATCACATGACATATCTCTCATTTTAAAAATATAACGAAAAGCTTCTGTAACCGTTTTATTTATTTGTGTAATTAAAATGACGTTTATTTTTCGTTACTTCTAAGCAATTTTTTACAATTTTTTTAAATAAAAATGATTTATAAATGTGATATTTGATTATTAGTGAACTAATGTATTATATTTTAACTATATTATTATATTTTTGTACTTCAGTTTATATATCTTTTACAAATCGGTCTAAATACATCAATTAAATCATCAAACACAATTAACGATATATTTGAATACAATTAATCATATTATTAATTGCCTCTAAGATTACTTGATTCTATTACAATAAATATAAAAATGTATTAAAGGTTAAAATAGTAATGTCTGATTGTATTTGTTCACAAACTAGAGAATCCGTATAGAACTGTGAAGAGTTACTCATTTTCAATACTTACTTTGCATTGTGGAATTTAGTTATATATCGTTTTTATATTTTCTTAAACTATGACAGCCATTGAAAAAGCTTCAGCATGGAAGACGATGATAGTATTTTGGTAAATAACGAATTTTGAATGATAGATTGTGAAATCCTCATTATTTAAAGTTTCATTTAAAAATAAGACATTTTTTTTATTATAACATTATACATTATATTAATTTACCAGATGGAACCGATAAAAATGATTTTATTTCCACAGTTCTCTACAAAGCTAGATAAATTGTAAGAATCCTATATCTTGATCCATTTTTTGAAATCAATATACAACATAAATCAGGGTTGTGCATTTGACCGGTCAAATACGTTTCGGTCAATTGACCGATATTTGACCGGTCAAATATGGTCAAATAGGGTCAAATGTGGTCAAATTCAAATATATGTTTTTTTAAAGTTAATATTAACTTTATTTTGAATATAATAGTAAAATAAAATCTATAATATTAATTTTTTAAATTCATTGTCATTCAATAACTAACGTGTAGCTATTGTAGCGGAGTTCTTGTTCTGATTCATTTTCAATATTATCATTTTCTTTAATATTTTTTAATCAATTTTCCTGATGTCTTAGATCTTCAATCGATTTCCATTTTCATAAGAATATTAACCCTAATCGACCTATTTCTTTCTAAAGAAGAAGTAGAACTAGGAATTGTTAGTCTCTTAATGGGCAGGGTGGACAAAGTTTAATCTATTAACTAGAGGTCGGAATTGATTGTTTCTGGAAATTACTACTTTCCGCATAATTTGCTATATTAAACATGCTGTTTTTGCTTCTGAAATTAATTATATCACTTAAAATATTTTGGTCATCACTACCTTGTAAAAGAGCTAATTCTTGAATTATATCACATACTTGTGAGTTCTCCTCTTGATATTGTGAACACAAAAAATAAGCAAACATTGTGATCACATGTATTTACATCTTTTTTCCCTTTTTTAAACATATTTTCAATTTATTCTTCCTTTAAATTTTTTAGAGTATTTGACCGTATTTGACAGGTCAAATACTCCTCCGGTCAATTGACCCGTCAATTGACTGAATTTGACTGGTCAATTGACCGACTTGCCAACCCTGACATAAATATCTAATAATATAATAATTTATTAATTACAATACATATTTACCCATTTCATTTTAATTTGCAAATTTGATAAAAGGACCAAACAGGAGAAAATGATGTTTTATTTGAAATATTAGCCATATATCAAATGTTTCAAAATATTTGAATTTTTATTTAATTTGATAACAATAGTTTTGGTTTCTTTATTATATTCCTTTTTATTTTAGACTTTACAAGATGAATCAATAAAATTTTTTTATCGTTTTCCTTGATTTAATCTTATTAATTATGTAATGAAGAGATTTTTGTAACTGTTACATGTTCGAAAATGAAAGCATTGTTATAAAAAGTCCAGAAATAATAAATTATGTTTTCTACATTTGCAGCATTCGAATTTTTGTTGAACCAGTCCCACGGAAAGGTAGCTCCTGTATGTTAAGAAATATCATGAAATCTTGATTTTAAAATCATAAAGATTACGGTTAATTTGTTGGCTTACCAAAATTGTTGTTATACTATTTTCTTTATAATGCTAAATTATTCAACACTGTTTTAAATAACTGGTTATATCGGGCTTAGATAATATTATTTTGTCTAAGATTTTAATCAGACCACTTTTAAAAATTGGCCTAAATCGAGCTGTTTAGCAACATTGCACTAAATTTTAAAAAAATTTAATAAGAACCTTTTTTTATTTTAATAAATATTTACGAATCGATATCAATCTGTTTCTTTAGATTTGATATATATATATATATCAACTTGAGTAATCACTTAATTAACTTCGGAAAATCCCGATTTTTTATGATTTGCACCAGAGACCTTCAAAAGATAATAATATTGTGAATGAACCATAATAAATAAAATAATTATCATTGAAATAAGTACGATTTAAACGTTGTAATTAAGTCGCTTATATAATGTTATACATAAACACACATGAAAAAGATAAAATATGAATGAATGATGATTTATTATTGGATATAAATAAAACAGGATAGGAAGAAATTTACAAACAAGACATGTTTTTTGAATAAGTATTTAAATTTTATTTTAAAAATATAAAATGAGGGGCCGGAAAAATTTATGGGGGCCTAAGATTTTTTCTGGGGGTTAGGTTTGGGAGCCCAATTGGGGCATGCATATTTTAAATTATTCTTTTGTTTTTATTTTAGATAACAAGCCCTATATTTTGTCTAACTAACTGAAAAATTTACAAAGTACATTATTTTTAATATTTAACTAAATTAATATAACAATTTTTAAGGAATGCTCATTTCTTTTATTTTTTAAAAATTATATATATTTAAAATAACATGTAAACTATTTGTAAATTAAAATTTATATAAAAACTATATTAAATAAAATTTAAACATTTAATTAGGTATGATCGACGGGGCTTATAGACCCATGTATGGATATGCAATTAGACCGGCAGATTTCGGTTGATATTCTCTGTCCAAGGTAGAAGGCTTCTTTTGGGTTATCTGTGATTAAGGATTAAGCGTAACCTTTGCCCTATTGTTTTGAATAATTTTAGGGCTTGGGGTCCAAATGATCCACAGGTATCTGAGACTACCGGAACAAACAAAACATTATTAAGGTTGCTATATTTTTTTGTTTTATCCTACTTTTTTAAAAGCTTTCCATTTTGTCGGATCCACCATTGCTCTATTATCCCTGCTGATTATTTACCTAGTACATTATTTTTAGGGCTTGACTAAACTGCAAATGCTAAGGTAAACTGCAAATGCTAAGTGTCGTATTTTTATATTACTGTAATCAATATATGCCAATCAACTGAATTTAACAAAGTTGATTGGATTAAAATTATATTATAACACACGTGATTGTATTAGTTTTTCCGATAAAAAGTTATGTAATATAAAATACGGACCATTACTTTTTTTTAGGAGTTTTTTTAAAAAAAGATTACGATTTTTCTTGATGAATTTAAAAATAATAAAATTATGAATTTTTCTGTATATAAATATACAATAAAATTTGTTCCATAAATTTTGTAGTGAATAAAATATTAGTGCCTCTAGATTTGTGAAATTTGTAAAAAAGATCATTAGTGTGTCTTATTCAAAGCAAGATAAGAAAATATTGGTTGTCAGTAAGATCGGAATAAAGTAAATATCTTTTCAGTGGTGCTCGTGACGCAGATCGGAAGTCTTGGAGTGATTCGGTTTTAAAGGTAAAATAAAATTTTTGTTGATATATATTTTATCTGATAAATTTTTGATAACGCAGTAGTACTAACACTAGATACGTATTTTATTGTGAATTTTTTTGGTAATAATATCCATATATTCTTTTTATATAAGCATTTTTATTTAATTTGAATTAATTGGGCGGTGATCTTAATTAAAAATTTATGAGCAAATGGTTTATTTTTTTAGGCATAATGGGGAGCATAGTTTTGGTGATAAGGTTCTCTTTTATAAGGATTTGGGTTATAAAGTTTTGTATAAGAACTTTAATGAATTGGATTTAGGTAAGCAGTTGATTATTATTGGGATATTGGTAATTGTGTATTTATTGATAATTATATTAAAATTCTTGATGAAAAGGGGTACTCCGGTACTGGCAAAAATGTATTGTAATTTTAAGAAGGACACTCCGGCGGTGGCTGTTTATGTTAAAAAAGTAGCAGACTTGGAAGGTAATCTAAAAGATGTTTTAGATGAAATCAAGGCTGGGAATGGTTTTGACAGGTTGGTGATGTTCGTGATGTAGGTAATTAGAGCATTTATCTATTAAAGACTAGAAATACCAAATCTTTATACATTTTAATATCAAATTATTTTCTTATCTATTACATATACGTGTTATACAAACAATTTTTATAATTAAGTAAAAATAAATATCGATTTAATTTCATATATAAAATATGTCATATATATATACATTAAAATTTATTTTCTTTTCTTAGAACTTTTAGCCTGTTTTGTGATCTTATCCTTAGAAGAAACCCTTTTCGACTTCTTGCCCCTATGCCTATCTACATCTTTCTCTTTCCTAAACAAAGAAAAAAAAAGTTATATTATATATTTAAAAAAGAATTTCAACATGTTTATTAATAAATATCAAAAAATTGAATCGCTCTGTCTGACAAAAAATTACCTAATGGAATTGATATAGCAGCCGAATTTAATATTTTAAGATTAGCTTATTCAATTTTACAAAATTTACAATTTACAATAAACATTATGTGTTAAAGAATTATTTTAATAAATATTTATAATATAAAAATTGCCTAATAAATAGAATGGAAATATTTAAATATTTTTTAAAAAATGGCAAATGTGCACTTTTATACCTTCCAACTAATTTCGGGAGTGCCGCATTATTGTCGCGGCAATGTGGCTCTGGCATATGTTTTCGAGAAGATTTTTCATCTACCCTATCGACTTTCTTCGAATTTTTATGTCGGGAAGATTTTATATTCCGACGATTGCCAGAATTTAAAATTGAGGATACTAATTGAGACTCATTCTCACTTTCAGTCGAGGATGATTGAGTGTCAGATTCCGAAGCTATTGCTTGCAAGGCGGCAGCCTCGAGGAGAGATTGTTCTTCTTTCAGCTGGTTGAGCTTCTTTTGTTCCTCCTTGAGGGAGGCTAAATGTTGTCTTAGATTTTCTCTGCCCATATATGATTTTAAAAAAAATTAATGTATCGAAATGTATACTTTGCAAGAGAGGTAAGGCATTATTTTTAAAATAATAAATGAAGGGATTGTTGGTAATTTTTGATAAACTAAGGTTTATTCTTTTAAACATTTTTTTAAATTAAACAAAAAAAAATACAAAATCAATAAAAATTAAAAACAACGATATATTTTGGTATCACTGATGGTTCGAGCCTTAGTTCTAATTCTAAACATATGCTGCAAGAGGAAAGAAAAGTTTTTATTTAATAAATAGATAGTTCAAAAAATCTTGATAATTCATAATCGTAATAATCTTGATTTTTATTGTTAGGATGATAGGAGTTAGCGTTATTAAAAAGCTTAAAGCTGCGCCGACTATTAAACGGCTCGATTTAATCAATTTTAAATTTTAGCAAAATAATATTAAGCAAACTTCTAGATTTTGTTATTAGATGCCCAAACCTTTCTGCCTTATGAACAAAATCTCTAGAGTTGCGTAATATTTTTTGCTTAAATATTGGGTAAGTCGTTTATAAAAATAGAGCCATTTAACAACACTAGCTCCAAATCAAGGTTAATTATGCTATCCCGACCTAGAGCCTACGTAAATATTCTCGAAAGTAATAAAAAATTAAAGATGTACAGAAACTAAAAACATTATATTCTTTTCAGCGATTTGCATGACCTGGCCAAACAGCGTAAGCCAGGCAACTTGTGCTAAATATTTTTCAGGCTGGGCCAGACAATTTGTGCAATATTATTCAAGGCCCATCATAATTTCCCAATTTTTATATAATTAGGCAAATTTATATATTTTTCCTTCATATAAAATTATTAGGGGCTGTGGGAAACTTGCAAAATTATTTTACGCAAAACCGTTTAAAAAATCTTCACGAACCAATCTCTAATTCCTATTATATGTAGCGTTATATTTAAAAAAAAACAAATAGATAATTCACCAATCTAATTCATGGCTCAATTTAGAGTCAATAAATTTTAATTCGTCTAAAAAAGTGTAAGGCTTAAGGATCGAAATAATCAACTCAGGCTATTTATAGTTCAAATGAATGCCTTTAATCTCCTAAGATAAAAGGGATTAAATAATGACACCAGAATGGGTTTCATCAATGGTGATTCTGAAAATGAGAGGAGAGTTATCCCCCCAAAGAAAAGCATAAAAAATAATTACATAGAAAAAAAAATAAAAAATTTTACGTGATAGGCCCGAGACCAATGGTGGTAAAAAAATTGATAGCCATAATCGTGTTTTGTGGGTCATCCGTGGGGAAGAGACCTTGAAAACTGGAATCCAATAATCTAAAAGGCATGAGAAGATTGTATAAACTATATATTTTTCTTTCTTGTAACCATAAGAACCATAGCATCTTAGCTTCTTTTTGCCGTCACTTATTCGCCCCTCTAATGTTTAATTAAAAAAAATAGAACTAACACTTCCTTCATTTTCAAAAAAAATAATATGCTGATGTCAAAAAAAGATCGGGTTAGCTATTAGGAAATCGTGATTTTTTTAAAAACAATGATGATAATAAAAATTAATAATTTTCATACGGATCAGATAATCTTTCTTTCAATTTTTCCATTCCCATAAATTCGGCCAATTCTTGAAATATACATTTTATGAGTATGCGACTGGAGGAGGTCGTGTCAGGACTCGTCAGATTAACGCATTCAAAAGCCTATCGAATAATTAATTTTTAATAAAAGCTTCTCTCGTGGAATCAAAAACCATATTAAAAAGAAAGTTCCTTTTATTTCTTCCCCAAATATACATAAAGTCGGAACATTCTCTTAAAATTTTATTTTATTTACAGTAACCGAAATCATTTCTAAAAAAAAATAATTAAATTTATAACTAATTATTTTTATTTATATTGTTTAAAATTTTGTGAAATTTATCTTAGAAGAAAGTTTTATATTATGTTATAAAATATTGCCCAAATTTTTATATTGCTTATAACTAGTGTTGTTAAAAAGTCGAGTTCATCCGACTCTGACTCAGAGTCGTTAGTCGAATATGTCGACTAACTCAAACTCAAGTCGTGAACTCGAGTTACGAATATTTTATGAACTTGAGTTGATTAGAGGACGAATATTTCAGATTTATTATTATTAATTAAGATATTTTTTGTATTTTACATTTTTTTACTTTAGACTTTTATGAGTCGTGAATACAAATTATATAATTGAGTAGACTAGAGGACGAATAGTTCTATGATTTGAGTCGTCAATTTGAGTCGACTAGAGTGCTAATATTTCAAATTAGTTATTATTATTTAAGATATTTGTTCTGTTATTTACATTTTTTTACTTTACACATCCAATTTGAGTTGTGAATACAAATTATATTTTTGAGTCGACTAGAGGACGAATAGTTCTATGAACTTGAGTCGACTTAAGGACGGAGATTTTACATTAGTTATTTATAAAACATTTTTCTTTAACTTTAGACTTCCAACTTGAGTCGTTATACGAGTTATATACTTAAGTCGAATTGAAAACTAATAGTTGTGTCGTTTTTTCGACTCAGTTGGATCCGATCCAAAATATGGGTCGTTTTTTAAAGGAAGATCTAAAGTTTGGGTTTTTTTTCCACCTCACCCATTATCCTGATCATTTTTTTCGACCAAGACTTCTAGGGTTGACTCCAATATATATAATAATAACATTTAATAGATATTAAAATTATGGGAGGGTAAGTTATTTATAGCTTCTTTTATTTATAATGCTCTGACTTACTATTATTAATGCACTGGTATTTGTCATCGTTATTTTTTAAACAGTGATTATGTACCATAAAAAAGTGACAATTGCCAAAATTATTTTGGAATTTTTTTAAAGCAAATGGGTAAAAATAGATATTGTAAACATGTTAAATTAAAATTTCAGTAAATATGTATCGTAGAAAGATGACAATTGATTTTAAAAAGTGCGAGTGGACCTGTTAAAAAATTTAAATGAGGCATTTTGATGAAATAAATAGTAAAGGTTTCTGAAAATGCCTTGGAAAAACTGGCACAATTCGCAAATAAATTGAGCGTTAAATTATATAACGAATTGTGTTCATTTACCAGTATATTCAAAGATTTAGTAGCAGAATTAAATGAAATGGACGATGATATCATTGAGGAGTTAATTGAAGAAGATGGAATATCACAATATTTGATAATAAATGTAATTGGTGTTTAATAGGCGTGTATGAAATCATTACAAGTTACAATATGCACAAAAGAGTATACATTAATTTATTTTTGACATATGAATACATTATTTTGTCATTTGCGGAGGTAATTGCGAGAGAACATTTACTAAATTTAAAAAATAGGCTGAGCTAATATAGACCAAATTAAACGCGTTTTTAATTAAAATTTAATAAAATTTATAATGCATTTAAAAAAATGTTATTGTGAAAATCTTAGAAATTTTTTTTAAAAATTCTCATTTTCCCCGGTCCAAAACATAAAAAAATTATTCGATTCATAACTTTGACGTTAATCTTCATTAAAGTTCAAAAACTCTTATTATTAAAAAAAATATATCAAAAATATTTTTTTTAAAAAGTTTATCAAAATGTTTTTACAATAATTATGGAAAGTTATTTAACAATATAAGAATGTTTTTTCACATTATGGAAATGTGTTACAACAATAACCAATCATATTATTACTGTATATGTGCAATTTTAATATATGGTTTATTTACTATTCTTTTTTTATTAAAAAATATAAATCGTTTTGAACATATCAAAAATTTATTTATAAATAAAAAAAAATTTTTTTAATAAATAAATATTGTTAATGGTGAATAAAACAAGAAAATTTTTATAACTTTTTTAAAATAGCCCAAAATTTATTTTGAAAGAGATAGATTTATTTTGGGAGAAAGAAACAGGCTAGTAATAATGCACGGTACGCGTGGACTATTTTTTTCATGTTTTTTATAAATTAACAAGCACGCCAAAATACGTCATATTTATTTTTATGTAAATAAATAAATAAAATTACGAAAGCTCTCGTTTATAAATGTTCGTTTTATAATTATTTTATTTGAATAACAGAAATAATCAAAATGGATACTCATAAATTTTAAAAGTATATTATATTTATATAGTTACAATAATGATTTAAAATTTAATTAAACAGGTTATTTCTTTTATTTCTCAATAATCTAAAGAGTTAATATTATCCTTGAAAATTAGATATTAGCCAATACTTTTATATAGCCAAATATTTTTATTAAATTAAATGTTGTCTATATTCTTTGATAGAGTAAAATATAGTGAGTCTTTAAATTAAAAATACTATGCTTTATTTGATATCATCTCTATTCAAGAATGTTTATGATATAAATATTAGCAAAAACCTAATAATGTTATATTAATTTCCAGCCCATTAAATTTTTTTTACCTTGAATATTTTAAGATGGTGCTCAGCCTAGCTTATAGCAGATCTCTAATATGAATATTTTTTTATAAAGCTTATATCATACTAGATTCTTATGGATGCGCATCAAAGCAAATTTGATCTTTTTGATTAAGACAATATAACTTCTACAAGTCAAATAAATTTAGAGGTAAAGAATATATTTACTATTGATTTGAAATGTAATTATTTAAAGTTTTAACCTAAAATTTTTATCTATATATATATATATTCTATATCTATTTAATAGGTTGGGGCTCAATTTGAATCATTTAATGATTTGCAGGAAGCTATAAATAGATATGAGAATATAATATATACAAATTACCATATAGCGACATGTACTAAACTTACCAATTTTGATCAAAAAATTATTCATACAATGCTTTATAAATACATACGTTATGTCTGCATTCATGGTGGAAGAAAATTTAAAAGTCGTGGGAAAGGAAAACGACTTACCCAAACATTGCAAAAATAGTTTATCAGTTAAGCACATAATAAAAGAAAAAAGACATATGCTTGAGGTTACAAAAATGAATTCTGGTCATAATCATGATTTGGGTATATATTTTTATCAAATGAATACCATTTTATAATTAATTTAAATTCTAATTTATTCAAACGCTTACCGAAGCAGCGTAAAATTACTGAGAATCAAGAGCTGTCATCATTAAATGTTTAGAATATGATGCCTCAATTCCTAAAATAAAATATGACCTCCAACAAAAAGGAGTTTACACAACAAATCGAAATTTATACAATATAAAAAAGAAAATATTATATCAACCAGGGGACTCTGAGCTCCTGGATGTTTTCAACTTATTAAAAAATTTCTAAAAACAATGCCCTTCAGGGGATATATCATCAAACACCCAATATGAGGCAATATTTTAATGAATTTCCAGAAATTCTCATGGTTGATGCAACCTACAAATTAAATCATTATCAAATGCCAGTCTTTACTCTCTTCGTTATTGATGGAAAAGAGCAAACAAGATTTGCTGCCATCTGGGTTGTAAAGTCTGAAAATTATTTAATAGTTATATGTGTGATTTATTTAAATAATATAATGATAATAATAATAAAATTAAAGTAATAATCGCAGATAAGGACTTCGCTGATAGACATGCTTATAGAGAAGCCTTTCCTATGGCCTCACTTGAAATATGTACATTCCATGTACAACAAACATTTATGAGAGAAATAACCGTTAAAAAGAGAAATATAAATTCTACCCAGGTAAAGGTTGTGTTAAATGTTTTGAAAAAAATGATCTACACAAAAACAGAAGTGCTTCATTGGGAAATTTATAATTCATTAATGGCCCTAAATTTTCCAGATGTGGAAATATATTTTAATAACAATTGGCATCCAATTCGACATGAGTGGTCTTATGCATGACGATGTAAAACAACTTATACAAATAATAGGACAGAGAGTATGAATAGGGTCCTCAAAGCCCTGATAAAAAAACATTCAAATTCAATAAATTTTTCCAAAAATTTGAATATATGTAGAGATACTTCAAATGAGGAAAAGAATCATAAAATAATTATCAATTTTAAAAAATTCTATATAATTAGTTATCCTCAAATTAGTTATCCTCAAATTAGTTATCCTCAAATTAGTGAAGAATACAAATATCAAAAAATATTGACTAATGCTACATTTAAAAGGATATTAGATCAGCTAAAATTATCAACATCCCATGATGAAGGAAATTCAACTTTAACAGTATTGCCCTCAAACTGTAATTGTGGATATTTAGAATCTATTTTATTACCATGTAGGCATATTTTTGAATATAGAAGATTGAATGGTATAGATCTGTTTGATCTAAACATTTAATAATGATAGCTCTTGATTCTTCAGTAATTTTTCGATGCTTCAGTAAGCGTTTGAATAAATTAGAATCTAAATTAAAAATAAAATGGTATTACATTTGATAAAAATATATACCCAAATCATGATTATGACCAGAATTCATTTTTGTAACCTCAAGCATATGTCTTTTTTATTTTATTATGTGCTTAACTGAGAAACTATTTTGGCAATTTTTTTGCAATGTTTGGGTAAGTCGTTTTCCTTTCCCAAGACTTTTAAATTTTCTTCCACCATGAATGCAGACATAACGTATGTATTAATAAATCATTGTATGAATAATTTTTTGATCAAAATTGGTAAGTTTAGTACATGTCGCTATATGGTAATTTGTATATACTATATCCTCATATCTATTTATAGCTTCCTGCAAATCATTAAATGATTCAAATTGAGCTCGAACCTATTAAATAGATATAGAATATATATATATATAGATAAAAATTTTAGGTTAAAACTTTAAATAATTACATTTCAAATCAATAGTAAATATATTCTTAAAAATATTGTTACCTCTAAATTTAATTGACTTGTAGAAGTTATATTGTCTAAATCAAAAAGATCAAATTTGCTTTGATGCGCATCCATAAGAATCTAGTATGATATAAGCTTTTTTAAAAAAAAATTCATATTAGAGATCTGCTATAAGCTAGGCTGAGCAACATCTTAAAATATTTATATGGCCTAGACAAGGTAAAAAAAAATTAATGGGCTGGAAAAAAATTAATATAACATTATTAGGTTTTTGCTAATATTTATATCATAAACATTCTTGAATAGAGATGATATCAAATAAAGCATAGTATTTTTAATTTAAAGACTCACTATATTATACTCTATCAAAGAATATTCTTATAATTTAAATAGACAACATTTAATTTAATAAAAATACTTGGCTATATAAAAGTATTGGCTAATATTTCATTTTCAAGGATAATATTAACTCTTCAGATTATTGAGAAATAAAAGAAATAACCTGTTTTATTAAATTTTAAATATAAAATCATTATTGTATAACTATATAAATACAATATACTTTTAAAATTTATGAATATCCATTTTGATTATTTCTGTTATTCAAATAAAATAATTATAAAAAGAACATTTATAAACGAGAGCTTTCGTAATTTTATTTATTTATTCACATAAAAATAAATATATGACGTATTTTGGCGTGCTTGTTAATTTATGAAAAGCATGAAAAAAATAGTGCACGCTTACCGTGCATTATCATTAGCCAAAGAAACAAGGAGAGGGATTGGTTATTATTGAAGTATGGGAGGGGGGGGGGGTTACTAATAATTTTTAATTAAAATAAAAAATACAAATCTTATTTAAGTACCATGAAAACAAATAATATATTATTAAAAAGAGGAAAAGGGAGTGTTTCGAAGAAACCAAAAATAAATTCAAATTATATTATTGAAAATAAAATTTTCAGGCATAAATTATTTTCTTGGGATAAAAAATTATCCCGATAAAAAAAAAAGGTCTACATTAAAACCAATGTTTTTCTTGACATAATAGAGCTCTGGCTTATCTAAAAAAAAGTCGGCAATATACATCACAGTATGAATAATAGGTTTTAAGCACTAACACCCCCACCCCCTTCGCGATTTTTATAATAAACATCTTGTTGGTATAAAGTGTATCGCTTCGCTATATTATATTAAATTGTTATAATGTTTGTTCACAATTCTGATAAAAGCTTTAAAAAAATATATTAAAAATTCTAGACTAAATTTAAATCAAGATCTTCCCCATTCCCAATAATTTATTCGTTCTCTAGTCGACATAAGTATATAACTCGTGTTCACGACTCAAGTTGGAAGTCTAAAGAAAAAAAAACAACAAATGTTTTATTAATTAATAATAACTAATTACAAATCTTCGTCCTCTACGACTCAAGTTCATAGAACTATTCGTCTAATCGACTCAAGTTCATAGAACTATTCGTCTAATCGACTCAAGTATTAGAGATCTGCAAAGTTAGGCCTGAACGGGCTTAGACTTAATTCTTTTTAAAATAGTCGATTTCGGGCCGGGCCAGGCCTAATATTTTCAAAAAAAAATCGTGAGGGTCGGGTCGGATCTTGGAAATTTTTTTTAACATATCTAAATGTATCAATTTTATATTGAATATTTTTTATGTAAAATAAAAATATTTGATTTTATATATTGAAACTAAACGACATATAATATATGTCTTTTATTTTGAGTAATTATAAAAATGACTTTATATATTTAAATAATTCGGGCCGGGTCTGTAAATTTTTTTAAAAAAAATTTCGGGTTCGGGCCGGGTCGGCAAAACTTTTTCAAAAAATTTCGGGTTCGGGCCGGGTCGGCAAAACTTTTTCAAAAACATTTCGGGTTCGGGCCGAGCCGGGCTGGGCTTGATAGATTAGGCCCGATGCAGATCACTATCAAGTATATTATATTTGGTATAACGACTCAAGTTGGATTTATTAATAATAACTAATTTAAAATCTTCGTCCTTTAGTATACTCAAGTTCATAGAGAACTATTCGTCCACTAATCGACGACTCAAGTTCATGGAACTATTCGTCCACTAGTCGACAACTCAAGTTCAAAGAACTATTCGTCCACTAGTCGATAACTCAAGTTCAAAGAACTATTCGTCCCCTAGTCGACAACTCAAGTTCATAAGAACTATTCGTCCACTAGTCGACGACTCAAGTTCATAAAACTATTCGTCCTCTAGTCGACGACTCAAGTTCATAGAACTATTCGTCCTCTAGTCGACTAAGTTCGTAAAACTATTCGCCCCACAACTCGAGTTCGACCCAAAACTTGACTCCAGTTTTCGGCTAAGTCGACTAGACAAAGTCGATTAACAACACTACTTATAACTAACTGGGGATGGGGAAAAACGCGTTAGGGGCAACATTTAGTTATTCATTATTACAATCATCTTAAATTTAATCTACAAATATTTCTTTCAAATTCTTAGCACAAACACAATCATTTTATGATTTGCTCATTTTGTTAAATTGTGTTAAAAAAAAATTAGTTTTAAATGATATTTTTTCCCCATGTTTTGTATGTTTGAACAATAATTTTTTTTTTATAGTAAAAAGTATAGTAGGGTAATGGTTAAATGCCGACTAATTCGGCTCAATCTACAGCAGCGTGGTGGAGAAAATCGGTTAACATTAAGGCATTTTAATGTATATTATTAGTTTGTCTCAAGTTAAAGCTGCTATATTTTTAAGAAATTAGCTAAAACTAGGTTTAGCCAATTTTTTAACAGACTAAAAATAATTACCAAACTAGAGTAAAAAGATTTATTATATTAGTATTTTTTGTCACATAATATATTATTAAAAGTATAGTTTACATATATATATAATATTTTAAGTGCAGTTTATAAACTGTCTTGCATTGAAAGAACAATTCAGGTTAAAGTCAAAAAATTAAATTCAAATTTAATTTTTTCCAAGATTACTATATAATATAGTTTATTTTAATATAAACTATACTATTAATAAAAATCTATTCACAAACAAATAAAATATAAGGGGCAACAATTTTTAGTTGGGTCGGCAAGAAGCCGTAATTGTATTTAAAGGTTTCCATCTGCATTTTTTTGTTAAAGAAATTCTTATAGTTCATACATGGTTACGAATTATACTTCCTAAAAAAGTTTGGAGGACGGTCTACGCTCTCCTTAAACATATCAATTGAATCATGCATATCATGTATCATTAGTAACCAAGAACTCGTATTAAATCTAATTAAACTAATTGAAAATTACTTAACTGATCGGCAAGAATATCAAAGGAAACATATTATCCCACATCCCGTTCCCAAAAGTATTGGGATGTAGCCATCGAGTGGCCCTTCCTTGACAATTTATTCTTGAACAACGATACAGAGCCGCTTATAAGCATCCGTTCATTGGTTATGGATAGATAGGTTATGAATGGCTATAGACCTATCTACGCAAAACAATATGATCACCGAATTTAGATAAGCAGTGGGGCTGAGGATGAAAATATCTCAATGTGGGACACAAGTTGATCAAAAATTAAGACATCCTCTTCATTGTCTTTTTAATAGATATTAATTAGTAAAATTATCCATAAAGTATCATATAGAGCTAAACATTCAAGCATTGTTTGATAGAACAATATTCTTCAATTATTAAGACTCGACCCGATTGATATACACTGATCCCATGGGACAAAGGCACTAGGATTTCAAGCGCACCGACATTTTTACCCCTTGTAGCAAGATATTAGGAATTGAGAGAAGAAGGAAAAGCCTTAAAATAATCCTACATATTCGTGAATACCACATTAATCCCAATAATCCTATCAATCTCCTATTAAACAAAAAATAGCAATGAAAAAGCCCGTTCTAGTATGATGATAAAAACTTATAATTATTCTTCTTTTTTTAAAAAATTTATTTTTATTTTTAAAATGTACTTGTTGGCTAATTTTATTTAGTATAAACAAATAATCATGTTCTAAAGTTTAAAAAAAAAGAGAATAGAAGAGAAGAGAAGAGAAGAGAAGAGAAGAGAAGAGAAGAGAAGAGAAGAGAAGAGAAGAGAAGAGAAGAGAAGAGAAGAGAAGAGAAGAGAAGAGAAGAGAAGAGAAGAGAAGAGAAGAGAAGAGAAGAGAAGAGAAGAGAAGAGAAGAGAAGAGAAGAGAAGAGAAGAGAAGAGAAGAGAAGAGAAGAGAAGAGAAGAGAAGAGAAGAGAAGAGAAGAGAAGAGAAGAGAAGAGAAGAGAAGAGAAGAGAAGAGAAGAGAAGAGAAGAGAAGAGAAGAGAAGAGAAGAGAATGATAAATAAAAAAAATATAAACTTTTGATAATTTAAAAAATCTAAAAATTTAGAATTGATTCATGCTTTAAATATAAATAAGATATAAGTTATAATAGAAAAATTAATGATGAGGAATTCAGTTAATTTTAATATTTAGGCGATTCCATAAAAAATTAAAGTTTAAATTTAAATATGCAAGATGGTGATACTCATTTTTAAAATTTTCAGTATAAACCTTAACCAAAACCGCATTTTGAAAAAAATTCAGAACCAAGATATTTTTTTTATTTAATCCGGGTTCCAAATTCCGATATTTTGCCACACAAAATTTGAAGAAAAAAAAAATTAAATTTATAATCTGACAAACCTTCCATGAGATAGCATCGGAATCGAAAAGATGGGCGAAGAATCTGGCCATATTTTTAATCTTGGCTCCCTCGAGTCTGTGAACGGTTTCATAGGATTGGAAGAAAATTTTTTGATATACTTCTTGGTACTGGGGAAGCACCTTACAAAACCTCTGTTTAAAATTTTTTTTTAATACAGTTAGATAAGGAACCAATTATATAAAATAAAAATTTTATAACCCTAGACTGATAATTATTGTATTAAGCCAGAATATGGGAAGATAACAGTTAATAATAAAACTAAACTTTAAAAACGCATTTTGCACAGTAAAGAGGGATCATTTTGTCCCTGCTTTTTGTGAATTATTCCTGGAATTAACTAATCATATTTACGATAGCTATTCAAATATTTATATTTTTTTTAAATAAAATAATCTTACCCAGCCTTTTTGCGTAGGGATCCAAAGTGGAATCATAAAAATCAAATAAAAGTATGAACTATCTTACAATTTATGGTGTAGCAGGGGATCCCTCAGAAATCTAATCCATCCCCAAAATAATCGAAAATATGTTCTTGAACCACATCTCATCCTACCTCAATTTCCCTCTTCCTATTAATTCTAAGAATACTAATATCTAACTCATTTGAGTACCTTGTTCAATTTCAAATAGCTTTCAACAGCCGTTCCTGCTTATCAAGCCTTTCTGCTCCTCATAAAATATGAAGATCTTTTAGCTTCCCACAAACTGAAAATGAAAAACCTATGATATCCCTTATTAATTTAAAATAATCCAATCTCGCATGTCTTCAATTCTCCTTGCCATGCAAATCCGATAGGATAAGCATCTACTCTGACCAACCATTATTGTAAGTCACATGACATTTCCCTTCCCGCGAATCTTAAATCTGATATCGTCTTGAAGATGTGAACTTTACACTTTCCTTGGACGATTAGGGCAAAAACATTCTTCCATCTTAATTAGGTCATCATATATCTAAGAATAACGATTGATTCATTTAAAACGGTGAAGGTTGACAAAGAAAGGAGGTTAGATTTCTGTCTATAGATCTTTTATTGACATTCCACCCAACGTCAAGAATTCGATCGCATTGTAGCCCTGGAGATTCTAGGCGTCTTAAATCATTACGTATATACAGTCACTGGACTGTATAAGATCTTTGCCCTCTACTATGGCTCAATTCTTCATACACGTTGAACCGCCGTGAGCTATTCAACTCGTCTACCTGAAAACAGTCCTAGCAGACGATGCTCTCGTGAGTTCTCTCCCCCCCCCCTTCTCAAGGACTACCAATCTGTTTTATGTCTAGCTACAGAACAAACATAGCTGATCGCGCTCACCGGGAATGGATAAAGGTTAGTATGCAATGACATAGGACTGTTAGATATAAATGTAATTGGAGAATCCTTAGGCCAAACCTCGACACATATACTTATAGCGGAGATCACGAAGATACAATGGTTAATCAAGACTTTTTCGATATTATCCTGCAGTCGTTTCCAAGAACCCCCCCCCCCAGTTATGTTTTAATTAATAATGATAGTATACAAGGAAAAATAAAGATGGGTATGGATAGCTGGAGTTGACCAGCCAAAATACCATTGGGGGGGGGGGGGGGTCAAAGTATAAAATGACCTAGATTACCATCCAATTAAATATTTACTAATACAGCATTATCAATAATGATTTTAACAACATTTTTAATTTTTTTTATAATGTGGTGGTCCATTTAACCCCTTTTTAAAGTTCAAAATCCTTACAAAAAAAATAATGAGTTTCTCTGAATTTTATAAAAATTTATTTTATGCATGTCACTAAGACCAATTTATATATATAAGTTTTCGCTTTTAAGATAAAAATTGATAACTAAAATACAACAATATTTTTTTTTCAATTTTAAAAATTCAGCAAAAATATATTTATAGAATCTTTATAATTATAAAAAATATCATAATAAATAATAATTTAACAATCAATTACATATGATATCTATTGACTAAAAAAGAGCAATTTTTTTTTGCTTTTATCAATTTTCCCTATGAAAGGGATTGGCACTCAATTTTTTATAAAGATAGAAAATAGTTGTAGTGGCGTTTGCTTAAAATAGGAACTCGGTACTTTTTACAAGAATTTTATATTTTAAAATGAGATTGAATAAATAGTCACATTAAAAAAAATGAAAAGTAAAAAATATTTTTCCATCAGTGTAAAAATAAGTTATTTTTCAAAGTTGACCCATTCCTCAAAATAAAAGAGCTTGGGATGCTAAAATTTGAACCTTAATTTAGTTATGTTCACTTTAGTGTGTATAAAAAATTTCATTAAATCATAATGGGTCGGAGAATCGTGAAGGAATGACCCATTTGGAGAATACGAAAACATTACTATACATTTTTAAAAAAAATTTAATTTTTTACTTCAGCCAGGAGTCCAAAAAACTTTTTATAAGTTCTCTCTTGTGCACAACAATCCAATATCATTGCTGCCAATTCTTCCTGCAAATATAACAATGGTGATTAATCTGTAATGATTAAAAATGATTTAGTAATAACAGATTTGTTTTATTAGCACATCATAAAATTTCGTGACATTTTTTAAATTATTTGGGAAGTATTTTTGAGTTGGGCAGTGTTTGATAAGGAAGATAAAAGGGGAAATCTGTGATATATTTGCTAAAAAGAAAAAAATAAATAAATAGCTATTTCATTTTGAGAAGTCATCTTATCTTACATGAATTACGAGAGCTAGTGATGTTAAACCGCTCGTTTTAAAAAGGCTAACCCAATATTTTAGCCAAAAATTATTACGCAAGTCGAAAGATTTTGCTTCTAGGTGGCAAAAGGTCGTGGGCATCTATTAACGAAACTCGAAGTTTATATTATTTTGGCTAAAATCTGAATTTAAAATAGGCTAAATCGAGCCATTTAACAACACTAATCATCAGAGTTGTTAAAGGATCTAGATAAAAATGTGGTATCTGTATCTAGATAGATTTTTGAATAAAATATCGGTATCTAGATATTATTTTAGACGATGTATCTGTATCTAGATCCATTTAAAAAGTATCTTTTAACAACTCTGCTAATCATAGCTAAGCTACGACAATGAGTCTCAGCAAGCAAATGATTATGGTCGAGAACTTCGATATAGTGAATGTTCATTATAATGATCATATTAAGCTCACACCCAGCACCATTTAAAATATTTTTAAAAAAAAATTTAGAAGCGAGTTAGTTCACTGTAGGAAAGGTTTATTGCATATATCACTACATACTATATATTTTATCTTCGAAAAGCTTTATAAAAACAAATATTTTAAAATTTATTTATTAAATATACGATTTCCAACTTCCATAACATATATTTAATTATGTCAAAATTATTAACAAAAAATATATAAGAAAATTTGTATAAAAGTATAAGGAAACCTCTAGTCCCGGCCTTATTTCCATTTTCATTAATTTGTGTGCACATTCATCGTGCGAAAGTGACGAATGAATTGTTAGATAAATGGTACGACGAAACGCTACCAAATTTGTCTCCGTATTGTCCACGATCACTTCTAAAAATAATTTTAATAAAAAATAAATTCAAAAAATAATAATATTATTTTTAAAAAATACATTGAGAAGTTAACGAGCTTTTCTAATTATAAGGGCTTTTAACATCTATTTTTTTAAATTATTTTTTTTAATTGGGGAATAAAATCAGTTGAATTATTAATTTTCGAACCAAACCTAAATCCGGAGAAGAAAACCGGGTTTTTAAAAAAAATTTTTTAACGCGAACCGAAACTGTACCCCGTTTATAAAATTTTTCAAAACCCCGAGCCGAACCCGGGAATTTTATTTGAACCTGGGTGTTCAACCAGGTTGAATGCATTGTTTAAAATCATCAGTTGTTAAGGAGAGGCGCTCCCACCGCTCCTTTAAATTTAATGTATAAATTAAATTATTTTATAAATATTAATAATATTTGTTAATTAAAATTCAATAAAAATGAAATTTTATTTTATTTAAATTTATACATTTTTAAATGTTTAGCCGAGTTTTATACTGATTATTCATCTAACCATTTTAAATATAAACATCAAGTTTTTCCTTTTTATATTGAAAATTTTTGGAAAATCATGTAAGTCATATTAATATTCATTTTATAGAAATATAACAAAAAATAGAGATATTATGGATTTAGAGATCATAACTGAAGAAATCGAATTTCCATCATACAAAAAATATTTTAAATTTCTAAAAAGATGTTAATCCAAATGATCTAACAAAAGGGCAAAATGCCTTTTGTGTTTAAATAAAACTATTTAATTTTCAAAAGTGAGCATCTTCAATCTAAAAAAGTATCTTAAAGTAAAAAATCTTTCTTTTAAATACAAAATGATTTGAAAGATTTTTTTGGATTCCATGAAATTGATCATCAGGAAGAAAATTATATTGGGCAAATATTTTTTAAATAATGATACCGAAATTACTATTTTTGAGAAATTCCCTTAATTAAAAGATATCTTTATAAAATACAGTACCTTGTTCCCTCTAGTGCTCCTTAGGAGCGCCTATTAGTATTGCAAAAAAAGTTTTAGGGGAGAGGCGTGGATGTTTGTTAGATTCTAATTTAGAAAATTTATTACTTTTAAATGCTTAATAAAAGGTTATAAATATTTTGATAGATCATTTAATATAAATAATGTTTCGTATACCTTCTAAAAAAAATGAAAATCAAAGAAGCGGTTATGGAGTGGCACTTCGTTACTTAAAGGGGGAGCTAGCTCCTTTTAAAAATGTAGTAGCGAAAGCGGGAGCTAGCTCCTCTTGAGAAGGTAGGAGCGGGAGCGGGCTACTTTTAAAAAAGGAGCGTTTACAACTCTGAAAATCATATATTAAGTGAAATTTTATAATGTTTTCAAATTTCCAATAAAGTGTTGTGCTAATTAATTTTAAACAACTTGATTCATTTACGCCATTTTTAAAATTTATTCTCAAAGATTCCTATTGGAGTGTTAATAAATTGTAAACAATTAAATTCATATACGCCATTTATTTTTAGGAAAATGAAATTAAGTGAACAAGTCAAGTAAAATTAAAATATTGGATATTGTTAATTTAAAGAATCCTCAAAATCTAACTTAAAAATTGTTGAACAAAGATGTGAGGCAGTTTTTGTAAACTTTTGTTTTTAACTATATTTTGCCTATAAAATAAAATTAAAAAATGTATTTTTTATACCAAATTTGTGTCTAGTTTTTTAATTATGATTTAAATATAAATGTTTTTTTTACCAATTCAAAAATTCTTAAAACTGAGCTAAACACGGAACCAAACCCGGTTTTGAAAATATTTCCCTGAACCGAACCCACCTATTTATTTTTTACCTTAAACCTAACCTGGGCAAAAATTTTTGCCGTGTTTGCATCCCTGAGTTAAACAATAGGGAATAAAAAAAAAGTATTCCGTTCTAAGTTTCAGATCCTGACAAAATATCTAATCTTTATTTTAATATATAAATTTTATTCAATACTATCTATTAGCTATAAATATGCCAATTAGGTTCAATTTACAGGTGCATGCCGAAGAAAACCAGTTTGGTATTGAGACACAAATAATCTATTTCAACTCTCTTCAAAGTTGAGCTTTATTAGGCTGAGGTGATAGTGTTGGCTAGAAGAAAAGATTTAAGCGTATTTAGCCATGGAAACAAAGCAAATACCCTCTCGATTATAACACTAAAAAATATAAATCGGTTATTAGCATTTAAGAGCATCAACCCTCTATTGTGTATCTCAAAAAAATATAAGTAATCAAAACTTATATTTTCCTAATCTTTATATACTTACACTATGAACAAAAAAATTATAAATTTATGATGTCTCTTTTGATTTTTATATTTACATAAATGATATCGTAAGAATCATTATATTATAGTCGTCGAAATATCATGTAGTGTTTTAGATCATTTTTAAAAAAAATGCTAAATAATTTTGAAATAGTTCCACTAGAGGAACAAACCATAGAATTATAATTTATTTGGAATTTATTTATCAGCTTTAGCAGTTGGGTGGGAAAGCAATATTGACTTTTTGTGAACGACAGGATATATTTTGACCTCCTATCGGCTTTATAGCTTAAGGAATAGGTAAAAAAAAATTTATAAAAAGCAAATTAAAGCTATTTTTTCAGTTTTTATCGATTTTTCCTAAGATGTCGCATTACCATCTCAATTTTTTTTATATAAAGTAATGTATTTTCTAAATTTTATGAACATCAGTGGCTAATTTTTCTTTATGAGTACATGCTATAATCATAAAATGCCCAAAAAATTTATAAAATAATTTTTTTTTCAATTTATTTTTCTAAATTTAAAAAGTAAACTGTCGGCTCCTGCAAGGGCACAGAGGTGAGCAAGTCCCCCGACAATTTTGGCGAGCATCCTTAAAAAAATTTATAAGGTGGATATTTTTTTTTGCAAATTTTAGATAAAAATTACCTTTTTTAAAGATTTTTGAGTCATTTTAGATATAATTACCCTTTTTTTATTTTTGGGAAATTTTAAAAAATGATCCCTCTCTAGTTTAAAAAGCTAAAGACGCGAGTGATACTAACCTATCTATAGGAGTAAGGGAGAGAAGACAATAGCTGTTTGTATATGATAGAATACTCCTGGTAAACTAGCTTACAAATAAAATCTATTTTGGAAAAATGTATAATATCTATAATTGCTTAGTTTATATTAATTTTAACCTTATTATTTGCAAAAAAAAGAAGCTATAGCAAGGAAGATTTTTAGTGTATGAATTTTTTTTTGCATAATAACAATTTGTCAAAATATATAAACTAATCAGCTGACGATATTTGATATTCCCCTCCCCCATATATTTTTATCCCAAATCCAAGTTAAATTTACTTTCTTTTTCTTCAGTTCCTGAACCGTCCTCATCTCCGGAGGTCCCGCTATCTTCGTCATTTGAACCGGGTAAAATTTCTTTTTTAATTTCTTCATATTTATTTTCAGCCGTTTCAAAATTTTTGTCGAATTTGAAGACATCTTTTTGTGTTAAAGAAAATAATAAGGATGTTTATTTTATTGAATTTATATATTACGTAAATATTATGATGCTAATGTTTTAAAACATAAGTGTTATAAAGCGGCTCGTTTTGAGCCGATTTTTTAAAACGGCTAACTCAATATTGTAGCCAGAATAATATTTCCTAAGCCTCGAGATTTCGATAATATATGTCTAGACCTTTGTTCCTTCTATGAGCAAAATCTTCAGGCTTGCGTAATATTTTTCTGGAGGAAATATTGAGTTAGCCGGTTTTAAAAATCGGCTCAAAACGAGTCGTTTAACAACACTACCGCCAAGCTTATATAAATTATATTTATTTTTTTGTATGGTTATAGCAAAAGAAGGATATTCACTCTTACTCAACAAATCTTGGGTGTCGATATCTTCGTCCAGAGTTACCATGTGGGTAAATTGGTCTTCCTCTTCAATCAAATTCAATTCTTCTAGCATAGAGGGATAATCCTTGGTTCAAATAAATCACATGTAATAATATCCTCATTATTTATGATTCATTTTTGTTATTTTAATAGCTAAATACGAAGAAATTCGAAGATTAATAAAGTAGTATATTAATTTTAAAATATTATTAAACACTCTAAAACGTATAACAAACGCAAGAGAACAAAAGTAAAAGAACATATGATTTTCGTTTTTTTTTTATTATAATGGCCATTTAAAGTAGAGGTCGGCGCGTACCCTTAAATTTTTTGCCTGGCCCGGCTCGTAAAATAATTCTGTATAAGTTGTCCAGCGACCTCTAATTGAAAATACTAAGAACATTAATATATTTATTAATTTTTCTAATTTGCGCTCCAACCAAAAAAAATGTAAATAAATTAAATAAATAAATGATTTTTTAAAAAAAATATTTCCATGTACTCTATATAACAGGCACTATTTTTAATAATAAAAATAACAAAAATAATGCAATCTCTCATTTTGGCGAATTATTGAACATTTTATGTACCTTAAAATTGTCTTTATAAATCTGGAAATAGGTGTCGATTAATGTTTGGGTTCTATCTGCTATAAGACTTTCGTGCAAAATTGTCCGAAGCTGATCACTTATAACTTCAAAATTTAATATAAAATAAAATATAATAAAGTAACTAGTTTTTTAGAACTTTTAGCCTTTTTAAATAACAGATACAATACAACACTTTAGGCTCAAATTAAAACAACGTAAAAGAAGTTCAAATTTAATAATTAAATAAATGCAAAATAAGTAATTTGATTGAGATCATAGATGAATCGATACTAAAGCAACCACTTTTAATTATTACTGATAATACCATACTAACGATAATCGGGACAATTTATATTATTTAAAATAATATTATTTATATCAAATACAAATCCAAAATTATATTTAATCATTTATTTTATCAATTCTTTTCTAGTGTATTCTGAAAATTCACTTTTTTTGGCCTGAGCAAGAGCCCCACAAGTCAAAGGCCGTGCTAAAAAAAATTAAAAAAATTGAAGGCTTAGAAAATATTTAAAAAACCTAAAATTATATAATAGAAAAATATTGTTTTCTCTTCTTTTATTAAAGTTATTATTTATTTTCTTGCATTTCATATCATAGTAAAGAAATTAAATAAAACATTATAAAGGTAAGAATGTAAATAATCAATATTAAATATATATATAAGGAAAAGTACACAACCTAAAATTAGTAAAGGGTCCAGGCCGGACCTGACTTTTTGTAAAATTCTAACTGGTCGGGTCAGGAAATCAGTTAAAAAATTATTGGTAAAGGTGTTGCAAGAGAATATCAAAGCATTATTTAATAAGAGAAGAAATGACAAGGGTAATCATGAGCACATTGCTGTAATATTAAGATAAATACATTTAAACAAAAAATGTCTTATTCAAATGAGAAGAATTATTACTATATAACTTAACTTCATATATTATAGACTATGTAAATGAGGATATTTCGAAGATTAAAATTTTAAAAGGAAAGATACATATATATATTTGAGATTTTGTGTATAATTCACTTTTCAATTTTTTGGAAAGGATTCTTTTTTAATTTTTTTAATTTTAATTTTTCAATTTATTGTAAATTTTTACTTATTTTTAATTTTTAAATCTTAATATTTTATAATTATGTTGGATCATGCAATAAAGCGATATTAAAATTATTCATTCATATTCTTAGCAATGCAACCTTATATTTATAGATAACAGGGTCTTTCAAAATCTAGTTTATTACTGCTTGCCAACAGTTCTTATATTATCTTCTATTTCAATCTATTCTCTAATCTTTACCACAATTTTGTTTTATACACACATGAGGTTAATAAAAATCAAGGCCTCCAGTTTAGTGAGACGTATAGATGGTTAATCAGCTAATCCTAAGCTGATTTTTTTGGCAAGGCTAAAGCCTGAGCGGATTTATTTTGTAAAGGATAAGCTCAAGCCGATTTTGACCGACTAAGACTAAACCTAAGCAGAGTTTGATTGGTTAATACTAAGCTTAATCCGATTTTGATTGAATAAGGTTACCTGATTTTGATTGGCTAAAGTTGAGCTTTAGCTGATTTTCATTGGCTAACACTCTGCTTTACTATAAATTTAATAATAATTTAAATAAGAAGGGTGGCATTGTCATATTCATCATTTTAACCAATTTTTTTAATGAAATTTGGCAAAAATAAATATTTTAATTCAATACAATTTTCGTTTTTCAATGGAAATAGTTAACTGAATATTTTACATCTGAAATTCCAGGATCTTTTCCCGGACAAGAATCTTCTCTGGCCAAATTTGGCTGGTAAATATATTAAAGAATTTTATATTTAAAAATGAAGATTTATAAATAAAAAAAAATTATTTGGTATTCTTGTTTAAATTTAATGCAAAATTTAAAAAAAAACAAGGTATTTACAGTTAAAATTATCTCTAGATAAATAAAAAAATTAGATTCTGTCAATTTTTTATAAGATTTGGTACCAGAACTGATAAGGTAAAGATCCAATACTGGTAAAGAATTGTAATTGGTACATCTCTAACACATTATTAAATAACAATTTGAAAAAAAATATAAATAAAATTGTTTTTTTCTATAAAAAATATTTATACAACCATAGTATCAGTCAGTGATATGAGCATAAATTTAAGGTATCCTTTAAGTATCAATATATCTATGATTAAAATTCTTGCTACCCTTAGTTCATAAAATAAAATGATATATTTATAGTTTTCAATAGCAAAGTGCATTGTGTTTTAAATTACGTCTAAGTCCTTGAGGTGCTATATCTTTCATCTTGAGACCACATTCTTTTAAAAAAGCTATCGCAACTTCTATGGAGTCATCAGTGGGATTCTCCAATAATATGGTAAGTATATCCAAAGCCAATATTTCATGAGCCTATAAACAATATTTTTTTTATATATTAACATTTTATATAGTTTCATAATTGATATTTTTATTATTATAGAATTATTAAAATTTGTGAAATAAGATCTATGATTTATAAAGAATAAGAATGATTCCATGTTTAATCGCCTAGTGTTATAGGAGAACCCTTTTTAAAATGAATGAAATTTGGTATGAGTTATATATGATCTAAAATTATCTAAACTAAATAATAAAAGAATAGTTTAACAGATACGTTTTAAAGTCCAAAAGGAAAATATCTTGATCTTTCTCAAATTATTTGATAAATATTTATTCTACTTAGATATTAAGTTGTAGCCCTTAAAATTTTCTATAAGAATTTTTAAAAAGAATACAAGAAATCTTCATTGAAATGATTTCCAATAAAATAAAACGATCAAATTTTAGAGAAGGAAATAGATGAAACTTACAAGTGTTCATTATTATATAAGTTTTTAATTTTTTTTTTAATTTACTCAAATAAATAGATAGCATATTTTATATAAATATTAATAATTGTTTATAAAATTCATATTTTTATTTAACAAAATTTAAAAAACGTGTAGTCTCCATTCTTTTTTTTTTACTTTAAATATATAACAGGATTGTAAGCACATCACCCTTTTCGCTAAATGAAATAGAAAAGCTACGCTTAGATTCTCTCAAATCCCATAGAGAAAAGTCCATCCACAAATTTATGGGCAAGCTGCAGTTACCTCTGTGTGCAAAGATTAAAGCCCCTTACTTAAGCTCCTAAAGGAGAATAAGTAGAAACAACTCCATAAAATTAAATTTTGATTTATCACAGTGAGTCAAACCAAGCCAAGCCTTGAAAATTAAACCAATCTAATTTGTTAATTTTTGAACCTGAACTACTTTTATTCAAAAAATTAAAAGCATCGTTAAAGATAGGTTTATGTCTTTTAAATGTTCTATAAATTATAACTATTTATTATATTGTATAAATTTAAAAAATACGTTTGTTTCATTTATTTTATTGTCATCTCCAATTTAGCATATTAAGCTCAACCTGAATTTTACTAATTATTTAACTTATATTATAAAATATATAGCAAACAAATAAAAAAGCATACTTAGAAAAACTAATTTATTTTTACTTTCATCAGATGAAAAAATTAACAACTAAAATCATCTTCTATAAATTTAGGATGTAATTGAGGCAATTACTTCCTTATGTTCAAGTTAAAATAATTATGATGAGAGGATTTTCATCACAAATGAAGAAAATTTTAAAAATGAAAATATAGTATTAACACAGAATAAAGGCATGGATAGCATGCATATGCCACATAATATAATTTGAAGGGTCACTCCTTCATCTCAAGCAAATTTAAACCAGATGCCTTTGTATTTATTTTTTTACTAATGTAAAATTTGGACTAAGGAAAAATATATACTATATTACATACTATTTATAATAGATAGAACAATAAAAAAAACTCTAAAGGCATTAAATAAATTAATAAAGATATTTTTTTACATTTTGAGAAAGAAAAAAAAGGATAACTTCACTTATACCTATTAGAAGCAATAGCAATGTCTATCACATCTATATAGATTTCAATAGAAAGAGAATTATAGAGATATATTCTATTATTATAGAAGACAAATTATTTATAAAACTATTTTTCAAATAATTAATAAACCTTTCATTAGAGGTTTTTAAACCTGAACTTTTATAAAATTTTGGTTCCTAACCTGAACTGAATTTAAGATTTATAATCTTTCCTCTTAGTTACTGTTCTAATCCTATATATAAAAGGTTCAATGCACTGAATAAATTTTTCCATTGTCAACAAATATAACCTTTTTAAGGAAATTTTGTTTTGTTTTAAAACAAATTACATTTTGCTAAAAATTTTCTTAAAGAGAATTTTTACTACAAATGATATTGTGACTAGCATAAATATTTATAAAATAATTTGTGATTTAAAAATTAAGACAGTAAATTTTTGGACTTAAAAAGGCAATACTAAATTTGTTTGAGATATCATTTGAAATATAGTTTAATATAGGAATGTTTCAAAAATCTTGTTTTGGGGTGGTTTATTATAAAAAGATTATATTTTTTTCTTATTTATTAAATTATATAATAGTCTAAAAATTACCACTCTCTGATTAATCAAATGGGCTATAAACTTAATTGAGGAAAGAGATACATCTTTATCGTTTCGTTTAAAAGCTTTTCGAAAGAGAATAACTAATCTTTTGACAAGTAATTCACCAATCTGTGGAAACTATATATGGGATAATTATTTAATATATTTTTTTAATGTTTAAAAAACAACATTAAATTAACATTATCTATCTCATACTGGATAATATATTAAAAAGATTATAAATATATCATTATAAATAAGGATAATTATAAAAATTATGAGGAGAAAAGAGCCATTATTAAATTAATATAACACTAAATAATAACCTCAAAGATAGAAAAATACAATTAATTTTAATTACTACATTCAAAATAGTTTCTTAAATATAAAATGGGAAGCTATATAATAATTGATAAATGAATATTGGGATAAAAATAAAATTTATACCTTCGAATTAATTATGGCTAAAAGGCATGCATATACGTTTGTAAAGACGGTTGAGAGTACCTGTGATCTCATTAAAGATTGTACCATAATACCACGTCCACGGATTAGATTATATTCAAGAAGATTCAAGGCAATATCTTCAACATTTGAGACATTTACTTTGTTAATCAATCCATTAATTTTTTTCTTTAAATTCATCCAATACATTCTCTGATAAGCCAAGCTAATATTAAAAAAAAAAAAGAAGAGTTTAAAAATTAAAATCAAACAGCATACGTAGATTTATCAGTAATTTGACTTTGTAACAGTTTCAATTTAGAAGGTGGCATATATGTTGAGGATTTATTAGACAAAACTCTTTCTATTAATTCCTCGGGAGTTATATCATCGTCCTTAAGGGACTGTTTTTTATAAGATTTAGGAATAATTTTAGTCATGGTTTATGTTTTGATTAAAATTTAATATACTAGTTTTTGCATAAATCAAAAACTGACATTATGTCATGAGATATATTAATTTTATGACAGATGATATATCTTAATGTAAATCTCATTTTCATCTTTCAAATTAATTTTTTTAACGCTTAAGATAATATTTTTAGAATTTTGCGTTAAATTTGAATAATTAATTAACAAATTGTTTTTCTTTAATCGATATCTAAAATGGCCGATCTATGAATTGTAAAATTATTAATCATTTAACCCTATAAATGTATAATCTACTAACATCATGAAAATATACATTAAATATAGAAATCATTTAATAAATATCCCCACCCTTCCCTTGATATTTTGAAAAAAAAACTAAATCAATTTAAATTATTTAATGTAATTGTGGCCCGGATAAAATACTTAATATGCCCGCACTATATAATTATCTTGATATCTCGGGCAACAATTGATAATTTAATTTTTAATCAACGTGTTGAGAAATATTGAGCACTTATTGGTTAAATTATATTTATGTTTTAAAATTATTTTTTAAACTGTTCACAATTCAAAATAATTTCGCCAGATACCTTATATAATTTTCCAATGCTTTCTTCTTTTATTTTCCCTTTCAACCTTCCTAACACGGCATTAGACTTTCATTCTTAGATAAAATTTAATTCCAACCAATTATGGCTGTCTTCCAGGCATTGGTAATTTCACTTTAAAGTTGGATCAAAAATATAAAAATGAAAAGGTCCACTAAAAAAATAACTTTCAATTTAAAAAAATTATTATTTTTCATAAATATTTAAAAAATATTTATTTTCTTGAGAATCCTACATTATTATGGCCATAATTTAATAATATTTATTTAATATTCCTCCTCATCCCCATACCTAATATATTTTTATTTAAACTCTGATATTTCATGATTTGTGATTCTTCGCGCAGGGGCGTCACTAGCCTTTACAATCTCAGGGGGCTCAACTAAAAAAAAATTTATGGGGGGGGGGGGGGAAGCCCCCCATACCCTCTAATTTGGGAGCCTTCGGCCCCCTTTTTCCCGGCCGGTTTAATATTACTATATTATACTTTTTTTAAATTAGCTAACTCTAAAATTACTTCTGTATTTTATATTTTATCATATATTATATTATGCATACAAAATAAATTGGCATTAAAATAAAAAGACATTTCTAAAAATAATATTTTTTAATACAAAATCTATTTATTACAGTATAAAATATTTTCGCTGATATAAAAAATTTGGCGTCTAAAGAATTACAATTGATAAAAAAGGTTGATTAATATATATGCCTCAATTGATAATGGTTTTTAAAAACCATATAAGGCTATATAATTCTTAAAACTTACATTAACAAAAGGTCATGAAACTAATATAACTCTCTGTTACCATTTTAGACAATGTTTTATAGAATGGACTAATAAGAAAAAATTTATAGGCCTTACCAAATTAACAATTGTTGAAGAAGAGAATATAAATGACCAATCCAAATCATAAAACTTTATGGTAGTTAGAGCTTTCTTTTAGATAACATGATGGAAGCTAGATAAGTAATCGAGAAAATTAATGTGAGATATTAAATTTCTAAAAGATTATCTTCCATTTTTAATGATATATAAACGACTATACAGTTGACCATTATTGCATATCTAAAATATGCACTCAGCAGCTGTAGTAATAATCTTAAATTACATAGGCACACAAATTATAGATGCTGGTATTTATACAGTCATAGCCATGACACTCACGATGTTAACTCATATCAGAATTTATAATGTTAGATAAATTGATAAAACAAAAACACTAAAAATCTTTAGAAGAAATTAAGCATGTCAAATTAAAAATGAATTATATAGTAGCTAAAAAATAAGAGTGATATGATGAAAGCCATTATCTCAAAAATAAATTTTTTATAAGTGTCATATCTTTAAGCTAATTTTAGAAATGATAAAAAAATTTATAAAATTTATACTTATGCCTAAAATTACGTTTCATAATATAAATTATAAGGTTAAATTATCTGATAAAATAAGTTCTCTACGACGGTTAGTCATTGTTGCATATTCATTTATAATGTGATCTATAAGAATGTTATTAATAACATTTTTTTCAATGCTCAATAGAGCCAACGAATTTAATCGTTCCTGACCCATTGTCGATCGAATATATGTTTTCACCCGTTTTAAAGCTAAAAACGATCTTTCACATGAACAGGAATTAGTTTGAAATAAATAGCATCTGCTACAAAATTGAACCCCAACATATGGGAGGATGAGCTTGTTACAGAGGAGAGTATTGTACCTAATGACATAACAAAATATTTAAATCTTAAAGTAACCAGTTTTGATATGTATAATTTAGCAAAATTTTAAGTTGCATATCACAATTAATATAAATTTTAAATTACTTTATTAAATTTATTATTATGTTTCACTTTTATTTAAAGATCTCAATTGAGGAAGAGGATATACTTCAAACGGATATCCTACTTTGGTGAACGACAAGAAAGAGATTTGCCAAAGCTATCAAGATTAGCAAGAAAAATATTGGTAATTCCTGCAACTAGTGCTTCTTCCAAACGTGGATTTAGCATTGCTAGAAGATTTTAGAACAAAGAAGAACGTGTTTGAATCCAGAAAATGTCGATTTATTATTATTTTTGCATTACAATTACATATAATAATGATTTTACATTTATATTTTTTTCATAAATATTCAATTTGATCAAATAAATTGTCCATAATTTACATTGATTATTTTTATACTTATATTAATTTCCTAAATTATAAACATTTTGCAGAGGAGTATTGAATTAGATGCTTAAAAATGAAAGAATGGCCATAATTAAATTTTATAAGCGGGCTTGGGTTAAAAAAATTTTATAAATATTGGGAGGACAGGTAAAAAATTTTAGACTAATGGGCAGGCGGGCCGGCGGGTAAGGAATTTTAGACAAATGGGTGGGGCGGGCGGGTATATATTTTTTTGAAAACTATGGGCGGGCTGGGCGGGCGGGTTAAATTTTTTAATAACTATGGGCGTGTTGGGCGGGCGGGTTAAATTTTTTTAAAACATTGGTTGGGCGGGCTTTTGGTCCAAAATCGTGCCCAATGCAGACCTCTAGTCTATATCCTTTGGTAAAATAATTTTTACATAAAAACTTTAATATCTAAAATATTTGTTTTGCAAATTTTTCGATTCCTTTTATTTATCTATATTATAATTTTCCGATGTCCACACTACGTCATCGTGACGTCATGTCATCGCCACGTCATGTCATCGGTACGTACTTATTTTTATTTTTATTTTTATTTTTTTATTGATTTTATTTTATTTTTTTTATAGAAAATATTTTTAGACATGAAGCCCAATAAAATCTACCAAATGCAAAATAAAGTTATTTATCTATATATACTAAAAAGGCTTATACTTTTTATTTTAGAATACTTAGCTTATGATGGATGGTATTCCCATTATTTCTAGAGAGGTTAACCTAATATAGACTCCTCTTCAGGTTTAATACATTAATATATTTTTTATTTATTCTTTTGTTTTTATTTTAGATAACAAGCTATGTCCCAACCTCACTTAATGATTGTCCAGGTGGTATATTGACTCCTCATCAGGTTCAATGCATTTATTTTTTTTATTTATTCTTTTGTTTTTATTTTAGGTAACAAGCCATGTCCTAACCTCAGTTAATCATTGTACAGGTGGTGATTTATCCATCATTAATAAAAGAAAAAGATGGCAGATCAATCAAAAAAGAAACGCACTAGGGATAGCGAGGCCCTACAAAATCTACTAACAACTCAAAATAAAGTTAGCCTTATATATATATTTTTTTATACTCTTTTATATTATAGATTACATCTATTTAGCTTCTGATAATCTCCCCACTATTTCTAGGGAGTTGAACCTAATATTGACTCCTCTTCAGGTTCATTGCATTTATATTCTTTATATTATTCTTTGTTTTTATTTTAGATAACAAGCCCTGTCTTACCCTCATTTAATGATTGTACAGGTGGTATATTGACTCCTCATCAAGTTCAATGCATTTATTTTTTTTATTTATTCTTTTTTTTTTTTAGATAATAAGTCATGTCCTAACCTCAGTTATTGATTGTACAGGTGGTGATTTATCCGTCATTAATAAAAGAAAAAGATGGCAGATCAATCAAAAAAAAAGAAACGCACTAGGGATAGCGAGGCCCTACAAAATCTACTAACAACTCAAAATAAAGTTAGCCTTATATATATATTTTTTTATACTCTTTTATAATATTGAATACATCTATTTTAGCTTCTGATAATGCCCCCACTATTTCTAGGGCAAATTTTATTTTTTGATGATAGCCTCCCAACTACTAGAGATATGCATATATTGACCCCTTTACAGGTTCAGTACAGTATTTTAATGTTCGTTTTATTTCAATAATAATGTTTTATATTTATGCCTGATTTCCTTATTTTTTTTAGGTTAACCCAAACTTAATCCCTCACATAGCTACAAAACATGATATTTCTATTAAAGATAAGCAAAGAAAAAAACGGCGACTCAACAAACGCCTTACCCGTTCTAGAATTACAGGTATGCAGGATAATAAGGACCTACGCCTGATATTAACTCCCTTGCAGGTTTTTAATGTTTTATATATATAGGTTTATTTTATAATCACCCAGATACCGTCAACTGATATTTCTATAACCACTACCACATTCCTTATGGCACCTCTACCATGTTTATTTCGACATATATTTGATGACCACCACTCACCTATATTAGATATCGGAAATATGACAGAAATATGCGCCTTCTGCAATGCTAAAATGTGGAATGGAGAAAAATTATCAAAAAGCTCATGTATATATATTCAGTTTTCTACATGTTGTTTGAATGGGAAGGTATTTTTATCTAAAATTTCCCAATTACCACCAAATTTATTACGTTTATTTACCGGGAATCATTGTTCATCATCCCAATTTTTAACAAACATAAGAGCTTATAATTCCGCACTGTCATTCACTTCACTAGGAGTTAATATAAATAATAATTTATCCAATTCGCGATCAGGTAATTATACCTTTCAAATTAATGGACAGGTTCATCATCGCATTGGTTCACTCCTACCAACATTAGGGGAAACTCCTAAATTTGCCCAATTATATATACATGATAGTATAAATGAGATAGAAAACAGACATAACCAGGTTCCGTTTTTAGATCGTTGTCTTTTAATGGAATTGCAGGATATTGTTCACACCTACAACCTCTTTGCTTCTCAATTTTTGAGAGTATCTTCTATGATCGCTACTGGCGTTCCCAACATATCCTTAAACTTAAAATCTGCTCCAAGTTTTGACGTACGTTATCGCAATAAACCTACCTCATCTGAAATAGCAGTATTATTACCTGGTGATGGCAGTGATCATATAGCCCATAGAGATATTATCTTAAAAACTCTATCTGGTCCTTTAAAACGTATTAATGAGCTCCATTCCTCATACGATCCCTTGCAATATGTTCTTCTATTTCCCAGAGGCGATATTGGATACCATCTATCCATTCATTATAGAAACTCAACTTATAAATATGTTACCTGCAGAGAGTACTATGCCTATCGCTTTATAGTCAGGCAGGATGATGAGAATGTTATTTTAAGATCCAAACGTCTTTTTCACCAATTTATCGTCGACAGTTATGCCAAACAGGAAACTCTTCGATTAAATTTTATACGTAATAATCAATCCAAATTACGCGCCGAACTCTATCAAGGCATACATGATGCTATTTTAGAGGGAGATACTAATGCTGACAATCTTGGCAGAAGAATAATTTTGCCTTCTTCTTTTACCGGTGGCCCAAGGCATATGCATCAGCTTTATCAGGACGCAATGGCTATTGTACGCTGCTTTGGTAAACCATCATTATTCATTACTTTCACCTGCAACCCTAAATGGGATGAAATAATGCGTGAATTATTTCCTCATCAGACCCCAAACGACCGCCCAGATTTAGTTTGTCGGGTTTTTCGTCAAAAATTAAAATGTCTAAAAAAGGATTTGCTCTATTATCATGTTCTTGGCAAAGTAATCGCTTATATAGATGTCATAGAATTCCAGAAAAGAGGTTTGCCTCATTGTCATATGTGCCTTATACTAGATAAATCTCATAGGCTACCAACGGCTGTTACTTATGATGATGTAGTTTGTTCTGAGATTCCTAACAAAATAACTGAGCCTAAGCTGTTTCAAATTATTAGCAATTTTAATACACATGAGCCATGTGGCATAACATTTCCTAATAGTCCCTGCATGATTGATGGAAAATGCTCAAAAAAATATCATACCTCTTCTATTGATAAGTATGGTTATCCTTTATATAGGCGACGAAATGATGGCGTTACCTTCCAAAAAAAATTAAACGGATTTATATTTAACAACTTTGGATTATTCCTTATAATAAACATTTATCAAAAAAATATAATGCACATATAAATGTAGAAATTTGTTCATCTGTCCAGTCCATAAAATACCTTTATAAGTATTGTTACAAAGGCCATGACAGAACTACTGCTTCCGTTCCCATTAATAATGTTGATGAAACTACCCAGTTCATTGATGCTCGATATATATCCGCCATAGAATCGCTATGGCATACTTTGGATTTTGAAATGCAGGATCATTCTCCCCGCAGTCTATCGTTTAGACCTTCATCTACCCAATCAACATATAATCCTTTTTCAATCAAATACTGATATAAATAATATCTTAACTAAAAATCCTGGTACAAAATTAACCGAATGGTTTAAAATTAATCAAATTGACACAGATGCCAGACATTATATTTATGCAGATTTTGTAAGATATTATGTGTGGAAACCTCTATCTAAACAGTGGATAAAACGAAAAAGGGGTGGTGATAAAGTTATAGGCCGTATACGCACAGTTTCTCCTAAAGAGGGTGAGGTTTTTTATTTAAGACTATTACTAAATTATGTTACTGGGCCTACATGCTTTGAAGATCTACGCTCTTTAAAATGGAATTATCAGTAACACTTTTAAAGATGCATGTATTCGACGTGGTCTGTTATCAGATGATGCGGAATGGAACCATTGTTTAGAGGAAGGTCTTTCATTTAAGATGCCATATCAATTGCGCCAGTTATTTTCTGTTATTTTATTACATTGTGAGCCGAGAGATCCTCTAGGTCTATGGAATTCTTTTAAATTTTATCTTTGTGAAGATTTTTCCAAGAAAATATTACCAGAGCCGGATAACCTTATCACCGAAAATCTCGCGCTATGCCACATCAATCAAATTTTGATTCAAAATGGTAAATCTCTTAAGGATTTTTTGGGAATGCCTATCCCTTTATTATCCACCCAATCTCCATCTGCTACAGCTAATATTAGGTGTCACCTTATTCGGGAGGAAATTTCCTACGATGATATGTATAAAAAATATTTGGCTAACTACAATTTATTTAATCGATATCAAAATATTATCTATGCCAAAATTATGTCCTTGCCCTCCACTCCACTCCATCCCATAATTTATTTTTTATAGATGGTCCTGGTGGTACTGGAAAATCATTTCTATTAAATACAATATTATTTAACTTGAGAGCTCAAGGTAAAATTGCTATAGCTGTTGCATCTTCTGGCACTCTTCTTCATAATGGCCGTACTGCACATTCACGTTTCAACATCCCCTTAAGTATTCATGAAAGTTCCTCATGTAATATTCCTTACCAAAGCCAAATAGCTGAATTGATAAGACAATCGGGAATTATAATATGGGACGAAATATCAATGACTCATAAACATATATTCGAGGCCGTGGATAGGTCATTTCAGAATATAATGAAATTAGACAAACCGTTTGGTGGTAAAATTATTATTTTTGGCGGAGATTTTAGACAGATTTTACCTGTTATTAAACGTGGTGGAAGATGCGACATTGTTAACTCAACCTTAAAACGATCCTATTTATGGTCACATATAGTGCCATTAAGGTTATGTATTAATATGAGACTTCTACAATTTCAGGAAGCAAATGATTATCTTATTAATAATAAATACTCAAAATTTCTTTTAAGAGTTGGTGAAGGCTGTGAAACATTCGATGGCTCTAGGGATAAAATAAAAATTCCTCAAGATTGTTGTATAGCTTCCAATGATATCGAGGATCTTATTGCTTTTGTTTACGATATAGACAAAGACAATTCATCATTTAACCGAACATCATTTGCTCAAAATGCAATCCTGACCCCTAAAAACGTAGATGTCGATTCTATAAATATTAAATTGATTAACAAAATTCCGGGGGATTTAATTACATACATAAGTGCTGATGAAACCATAACCGAGGATGAAGCGACGTTTTATCCCACTGAATTTTTAAACTCTTTAAGTATATCACGATTACCCAATGACATTATATGTCATTGGGATTACCACCTCACAAACTTTTACTCAAAGTCGGGGTACCTGTAATATTAATGCTAAATTTAAATTCTGCTTCTGGTTTGAATAATGGGACTAAATTGATTATAACTTCTTTGCTACCAAATATAATTGAGGCGGAATTTGTTTCTGGTAGTTTTCTCAGTACTAAAGTTCTCATTCCTAGAATAAGTTTAATTCCTACAGATTCTGGCTTGTCATTTTCCTTTAAGCGCCGCCAATTTCCCGTGAGACCTGCTTTTGTCATGACAATTAATAAAGCTCATGGACAAACGTTGAACAAAGTTGGCATCTATTTACCTCATCCTGTTTTTTCACATGGACAGCTATATGTGGCTATGTCTCGAGTTTGTTCTCCTCATAAATTAAAGATTCTAACCAATGATAAAACAAAGACTACAACCAATGTGGTATAATCCCGGTTTATACGAATAAGAATGAACATTACTTAGTATGATATTATTTTATAATTTAAACAATTTAATATTATTTAAGCATCCTTTTGTCAGGCCGCTCAATATGCCCTTTTATCTCTGATGAATATTTTGTCTAATTGAAAATTATATCAAAGTACATTTTTAAAATTTAACTAAATTAATATAACAATTTTTAAGGATCCTACTTTTTTAAAAGCTTACCATTTTGTCGGATCCACCATTGCTCTATTATCCCTGCTGATTATTTTGTATAACGCACAAAAAATATACATAGTACATTATTTTTATTATAAATAATATTATATATTATTTTATATCTATTCCAAAAAATCTTCATTTTATTTCAATAATAATGTTTATTTATATTTTTGCCTGATTTCTTTATTTGTCTAGGCTAACCCAACCTTAATCCCTCACATTGCTACAAAACATGATGATTCTATTATTAAAGATAAGCAAAGAAAATAATGATGAATAAACAAACGCCTTACCCGATCTAGAGTTACTGGTAGACAAAATAATAAAGAACTACGCTTGAAATGAACTCATTTGGAGGTTTTTTTTATCTAATGTTTTATATCTATGTTTATTTTATTTTCACCCAGTTCTCCAAATGATATTTCTATCACCACTATCACAATCCCTATGCCACCTCACCTATTTTTTAACAAAAATAAACATTTTTATTTATCACTAAATTTTATTATCTCATTCTTTTCTTTCTATCTCTATTATCTATTAACTACTATTTCTCAAAACCTTGTCACCTTTAATTTATATAATATAATATATTAATTTATACCTTCTTTTCCCCCCTTTTTTAATCTAATTTTTTAATCACCTTACATTAATTAACCTTTATCTTAATAACATTACATTTATTATTTGATGATAGCCCTCCAACTTATTAGAAATATGCTTCTAATATTGACCCTTCTACCGGTTTTACATTATTTTAATGTTTGTTTAATTTCAACAATAGTATATTTATATTTTTGCCTGATTTCTTTATTTGTTTAGGCTAACCCTAATCCCTCACATTGCTACCAAACATGATGAATCTATTATTAAAGACAAGCAAAGGAAAAAATGGCGATTCAACAAACGCCTTACCCGTTCTAGAGTTACTGGTGGCCAAGATAATAAGGCACTGTGAACTCCTCTGGAGGTTTATTTTGTTTTTTATCTAATGTTTTATATCTATATGTTTATTTTATACACCCAGTTGCCTCCAAATGATATTTTTATCACCACTACCACAATCCCTATGCCACCTCTGCCTAATTTTTAACAAATATAAGTATTTAATTCCACTATCATTCACCTCATTAGGAGTTATTATAAATAATACTTTATCCGATTCCCTGAGGAACTTTCATGAATATTTAGAGAGATGTTCAAACGTGAATGTGTAGTGCAGCCAATTTCATTAACATTATTAATGGGAAAATATGCGGTAGTTTTGTCATGGCCTTTATAACAATACTTACGACCGTTTTATGGTTGAGTTGACAATGTTGTTGATACCAAAATTGACACTTTGGCAGAAATATCATTTCGCGTTCTTCTTTTACCAGTAGCCCAGGGCCTCAGCTTTATCAGGACGCAATGGGTGTTGTACACTGCTTTAGTAATCCGTCATTATTCATTACTTTCACCTACAACCCTAAATGGGATGATATTATACATTAATTTTTTCTTCTGCAGACGACTGCCCAGATTTATTTTGTCGCTTTTTCCATCAAAAATTAAAATGTCATAAAGGATTTGCTCTTATTTTTACCAGACACACAGAGTAATAATTAATCCTCATCATTTTTTAAAAAAATTGCCTAAATTTATATGGCAAGAAAAACAAATTTCTTAAAAAATATATAAATAAATTGCATATAAGTTTCATTAGTATTGAATGGCATTTTTGTAATTTAAATAGATATAATTTTTTTGTACTTAACAAAAGATATAGATAGCCCTTATCAAATTTTTTGATAAAAAGAGTTAACCCACTAATTGGTAAATCCGAGATTTCCCCTTCATGTGTTGATAAATTATTTAGAAATTTAACTATCTCCGGGTTTGGGAAATAGTTTTGAAACTTAATATGTGATAGACTGGGCTTGAAAAATATTCCTCAAGATTAATATTTGCTTGCTGACTTGGGAATATCTTATACAAATTATTATGGGCCGGGCTAGGAAAAAATTTTCAAAATTATTATGGGTTAAGCTAGGCTTGAGAATTTTTTTAAATAATTATAAGGTCTTGAACGCGTGGAAAATTTTTCCAAATATTATGAGCTTGGACCTGGCTTGAAATTTTTTAATGTTAAATGTTAGTCTTATGTAACCAGTAATATATTTACAAAGAATTTTGGTATTGGGTACAAGCTCATTTAAATATATTTTGACTCAAATAATAGTTTCCACTCTTAGTCCTAATGGGTTGGACTCAATGACATTGCTTGGACTTGACCTAAATGGAAAGGGGGGGGGTTTAAAAATTATATAAATTGGATATGATTTTTAAATAAAAGGTAACATCTTTCTTAAAAAAACGAATAAAATTCTCATTCTCCGTCATTTTTGACGGGCTATCTACTAGTTATTTTAAAGCTACTAGAATTCTATTTCTATTTCTATTAAAATATAAAATAATGTATAAATATGTAAATTAATCAAAACATGAGTTGAAACCTCTTTTTTTGAGAAAATGAAAGAATAAATCCCATGTAATTGCATAAATGATAATCCTCAGTAATGTATTTATTTGTTAATCTAAATAATAAAATGGAAATAATTAAAAATAAATTTTAATATATAAAATATATGAAAAAGAAAAGTCATAAGTATAATATTTGCGTACATTTTTTTGCTGTTCGGCCTCTTTTCCCCATTTTTTTAAATATTCGGCCTCATGAAATTGACATTTTCTAGCTGTCTCGTGTGCAAAAGGCCCACTTGGTCTTATGGCCTGTCCGTTCATGTTACTAGATTTTAAAGATCAAATCAAATTATGTTTTCATGTGATTTTATATACGGTTGATATATAATGGTTGTTTGATATGATTTAATTATGTGATCATGTGTTATACTATGGTTTTGTATAAGAGCATCACTAGCCTTTACAATTTCAGGTTTACAAAATTACTTAGTTTTTAAGCTAATATTATTTAAAATAATCCCCCCACTTTTTTTATTACCTAACTTATCTATATTTTTTTCACTGGTTTCAAAATTTTGAGTAGGCTCTTGAAATTTTTCTTGAGACTCGAGTCTTGTAGCCCCCTCCCCTAACAAGTAGGGCTACTGGTTGTGCATATAATATAATATATGCCGAATGAGCATATAGAGAATGATTAAACACACATTGAAAAAACGCATATTTTTAAAAAATTAAGATAAATTTGGCAAAAGAGCACTTTTAATAGCCGTAAAAGGAAGAAAGATTGGATAGGAGAGAAATTATATTTAGATTTTAGTATCAACCCAGTCTTATAACTTTTTAACTCACATGCTTTTTAAGATACAAATAAGAAGGTTAAAAAAAATCTAAAAGCTCATAATAAAACTGTATATTATCTCTATATAGTTAAATCTTTTGATTATTGATGTTAAAACAATATATTTAATACCCTTTTTTTTTTAAAATACAATATGTAATCATAAAATTTATTTTTTAGATCATAAATAAAATAATTAATTAACATATGTTGAATATCCGCCATCTTTCTTGAAAATGATATTCATCTAATAAATTTATAATTTGCAAATTTCGTTTTTACTAATTACCTATATTTACATTTCGTCAAGGTTATTTATTTAGATGCAATAAAGAAAATCAATATTACTACATCTTATCGTATAATACAAAACATTTTAAAAGATATGTAAGTGATTTAACTTTTCGTAATTCTATTAATAATAATTTATTTTCTTTTACATGCATGTCATAATAATTAATAGCATGTTAAATGTATGTTTAAAATTATATAGATAATGGCATTTGAAAAATTTGCAAAATTTCGTTCAAATTCTCTACCTAGTGAGTTTATGTTAAAATATTTTAACCAAATTAAATGATTAATATTTAATAAATGTAATACAATAATTCTTCCTCAAATATATATAATATTTTTTTAGAAAACAAGAATAAATCTAATTCAAACTTTAAGCAAAAAAGTGTAAAATATCCATTCTGCCATAATCCCAATATTCATCACCCACCTGGTTATACTAATATAATATCACAGGGGAAACCTATTGACAGACAATATAATTTATCACAGCCTAATCAAACTAATATAGGTGTTAGGAGAGGAGATATTCCATCTGAACATATTCACCACCATCACCATGATAGACAACATGCTCATCATCATCACCATAATATAGAAAATGAATCATATCCCATAAATTACTCAAACCAAGAAGCTCCAAATCGCCCACATCATCATAATCATCATCACTCCCATTCACCTGGGCACCATCACCACCATCATCATCATAGTCAAAGTGTTCCTCCAAGACAGCAAATAATTAGCAAGCAACCCACCCAATATCTGAGTAATCAATACCCTAACTATTATAATAATAATAATACACAAACTCCTCAATATATAGACTGCAGTAATCTTGGTTACATAAATAACAATCAAACCCTACCCCAAGACCCACAAAATTTGCTTATTACCTCTGACACTATTATAACTCCTATTGTCAAAAACGTTAATCAGGAGGTCCCTATTGTTAATGACACTGCTGATAAAAATAACTTTTACACTCATTACCGAGATAGGACAATTTATGGTGTAACAAATAATCTTCAAAAACCTCACCAACCATTTGCTGCCAATAATGGGAGTCGTCATATTAACACCAGTCTTGACAGAAAAGACAAAAGTGAACCAGTTCTTAGAGAAAATTTGATCCCAGATTCTAAGACTGTTGATACATATGTTTATAGAACAAATTCTTCCACAGGTAAAACTGTTGTAACCATAACAGATTCTGAAAAAACTTTTTATTTGCCATCCCACCCTGTTGTGCAGACTAGTTTTAATCCATCTTATACTCATACTCATAGAAGTAATAAGGAGTTGTTTGAAAAAGGCCTTACAATTCCCATAACTATGGTAGGAGATCGAGATACTCAACTAACTGATCATAAATCCATACCCAGACATGATTACTATCCTCAAGACAATAAATATGATAGCTACCACAGAGTAGACTCTAATAAAGACTCTGCTCATTTGGGAGTCGCTGATCTCAAAAGTGATGATTTTTATTACTACGAAAAACATGCAGCCCAACACCAAAATGGATATCCCCCTTCTCACAATCATACCAACAAAAGTCCATCTTCACCCCCAAATTATGACACTTATTCTAGGGTCAAGAGTCGAGAAATAGATGGAAGCAGAGATTATTTTCACCAATATCCTGTTTATGGATCTTTTGAATCCAAGGTTGAAGATGTGCCTTCTAATGATGTTCACAGACATCCTTTAGATGACAGCGGGTTTGCAGACAGAAGCACTGATAGCAGCCACCAGGAGTATCAGGCTAAAAATCAAACTCATCTCCATGATATTTTTGACGATTCAAAAAACTTGAAAAATTCTAATTACCCAACCCAAAATTCCACCAAATCTAATGATAATGAATCAAATGCAAGTGGTAGGGTTAAATCAGCAGATCGTTTTGAATCCTATACTCCAGACACAGTTTTAACGTCAGAAGAGAGAGAGGCTATGGTTCATTCTTTCCGAGAAATGAACCTAAATAGTTCTAAATACCTTGATAATGTTAAACCTGCCTCATTTACAAACCAAGCCCTGAAAGGGAAAAGGTATGGTAGCAGGGATACTTTCAGGGCCAGGTTAGATCTCACTCATTTTCGGCGAAACGAGATAGAGGCCAAAGTTGTGTCAGGAAATAGGGTCATAGTCAAAGCTGTTCATGGGGATAGGCCCGACAGCATCAATACGAAACATGACAATAACAAAAACTTAGGCTTAGGCCATACTGAGGGTCAGAGGGTCATGACCAAGAGAGAGTTTTTTACTTCTTACACCCTGCCCCCAGATTGTAAATGCGAGGAACTCAAGGCCTTTTTCACCAGGAAGGGCTACCTCGTTATAGAATGCCCTAGGATTGTTAAGGACATTAAGAACGACTATTTCTACACCGAGATTGATACTAGCCAGGGCAGAAGGAATGACAGGATGGATAGAGACTTGCAAAATATAGGCGGAGCCAATGACGAGAGTCTTCTTATTTATATAACATAATTAACTTCTTTTTTTTAAAAATATATTTATATTTATATTTTAATTAAATAATTACTTGATCTTTTTTACCATTAAATTTCGAAAATCAGAAAATCGATTTCTAATTAAAAAATTTTTTTTTTGATAAAAATGGAATTTAAATTGTGATTTCATATCTTTTAAATTTCATATCTCTTCATGCCTTTTTTTAAGTTGCGGACTTATTCGTAAATAAAAAATTTCCATCCATCTTTAGTCAATATAATTTATTTTTTTTTTATAATAAATGACCAATTTGGTTCCAAATTTTTTGGGCCAAATTCATCAATCATTATCGTTTAAAATTTGAAATTTGTAATAATATAATTTAGATTTGTATTTATATTTAATAACGGGTGTAAATTTAAAAAAGAAAAATAATGCAAACCATATTGATAATTAATATATCTATTTTTATAGTACAAATTTATAATTATAATATAATACCTATTATAACTTATCTACTCGAAATATTTATTATAAGCGCTTATTATATTTTATTAGCTCTCTTAACCATGTTATACCAGTTATTATTATTTTTATTTATCAAATTATATCAATTTTTTTTAAAAAATTTTTACGAATAAAATTTAATGAAAACAATCCATTCCTTCCCTTACCAAGAGATTAAACGGTTTTTAAAGAGTGAATTAAACAAATTTAAGGAAATTTTAGGACAGTGTTAAGTTTTTTATAGGAATGATTAAAAGTAGAATCCGGGCCGGGCCGTTATTTCAATTTTTTATAAATATACCCGGGCCGGGTTGTGCAAATGGCAGCTCCGCAGGTCTCTGCTTTATATACCTACATCGCGTAAAAATAAATTACTTGATTTTATGATCTTTTGTTTTTTTTTTTTAAAAAAAATCCTTATAATATTGCAATTTTTATTTGGATATTTAGGTTAAAATAACATAATTATTAAGCTATCATGCAATTAATTTTAAATTTTAAGATACGTTTAAAATTGAGAAATTTTTCTTCAATTGAAGATGAGTAAATAAAGATAGATGCAAAAAAAAATCATTTAAAATGTGTAATTCACTTTTAATTTGAATATAAAAATAAATCTAATTTATATTTTTTTTTATATTAATGTATTTTTTATTTAATAATTAATAAAAAAAAAATATTATTTTATATTAAATTATATTATGCAATTACGGACGACCTTGATATATATATATCTCTCTTTTAAAAATATTACTATTGAAAATGACTATTTCGTTGTATGCCTTTATTTTTGCACCCTTGTTCCAACCTGTAATAAAAACAATTTTTTTTAAAAAAAAATTATACACGTAGAATCATCCATTTTATTCTCTTTCTTTCTTTCTTTTTTTTGTAATGTAACCTTTATTCAAAAGTTATTTTTTTTTTGATATTTAAATTTCAAATTCTTGTTTTTAAAATTTAATTATTAAAAATAATATTATATTTAATAAAATTCGTGAGATAATAACCGTTTCATTTTTTTTAGAGATTGCGGTGGGAAATAATGATAAATGTGGATTATTTTGAAAATGTAATTGGGATTAAGATATTTTTGTCAAAATACATTCCTATACGTGTTGGTAGGTAATATTAAAGGCCAATCTTTAAATTTAGAAAAAATCGAGTTTAATGTTTCCAATTTATATGTTATATATATATAATATACAATAAAAAGTACAAAATATATATATTGGCACACGTGAGGGATAAATGACAAATTATATTACATATGTTCCTCTGACTAATTTATAGACACATATATAACTATTATAGTATATATTAGAATCTATCAATACGATATTTTAAATAATGCACCCAGGGGCAGGTTGTGAATTCCGAATTCGGGTTCAGGAATTCCAAACTACTTATCGGAAATTTTGATTACAGGAACTTAAACAAAACCGATTTTTAAAAAGAGATTCTAACCCCCCCCCTTACCGGTTTTATCCCGGGTTTGATGTATTGCTCATAAATCGGTTTTTGTTTGGTTTGCGATCTCAACATGCCCAAACAAACAATTTTAAATTTCAGAACCCGAATTCCACAGTTTACCTCATTTAAAGTTTATATAATAAGACATTGGCTAACGAACATTTTTTATCTATCGATTTGCTTTTATGACATTTTTTTTTTAAAATTTGATATATCAAAATAAACATCATTCGTGAGTTGTGACTAATTTGACATTTTGTTAATAAAGATAAATTATTTCCTTGAGTTTTTTATTTTAAAAAATGTTAATTAACGATTTTTATGGGCAATATATCAAAAGATATAATAAAATATGATATATGCCTTGGGGATACATTAATTTATATTAAATTTTAATTTGTGTGCTTGTATATGTTCTATCTGACTCGATTAAAAATTAGATTTTCTTTTATCATTTATTTATCAACGTTAAATTTGACAAATATATACGAATAAATTCAAAAAGCCAAAAATCTATCTTGATTTTAAATTTATGTTTGATAAAGTTTTTTTTTTGTTTACATTTCATAACTCCACTATTTGTTTACACATGCTCACGGTATAATATGGTTGTTCTATCTGACTCTGAATTACATTTTTATTCCCTTTTTTTTGGATTAAAAATTAGATTTTCTTTTATCATTTATTTATCAACGTTAAATTTGACAAATATATACGAATAAATTCAAAAAGCCAAAAATCTATCTTGATTTTAATTTATTAAATGTTTACATTTCATAACTCCACTAATTGTTTACACATGCTCACGGTATAATATGGTTGAATTTTTGCGCGTAAATATCAATATTGATCTTTAATAGCATTTTTCCCGTTTAAAAAGATTCTACAAGTTTGAATTGGAAATGTTGCGTGTATAGTTTAAAATGAGATATACCACGACATGCCTGCCCCTGGTCTTAACTAACGCCTGTGGAAAAAATTGTGTGTTATCGATGGCTTCCCCCGACCCGTAATTATTTTTGGCCAGTCCTGCTAGTAAAATATATTTTACACAAGTTATCCGACCTGGCTAGTAATAATTTTATTATAGAAGAAAACGACTTAAAATTTCCCCAAATAATCAGCTTTAAAAAATTTTTCTTTTTCTCTATAATTTCGCCCCCCCCCCCGACTCAACCAGATTCTTGAAAATATTTTGCACAATTTGTTCTACCCTGCGCGAAATTATTTTCTTTCTGGACTCACGGGCTGTCGGGCCGTTCTCATTATGCGTAAAATGATATTTTTCTTTTCAATTTGATCTGATAGATTTTTTTTAAAGAATGGTTATACAGACCGTCGAAGTATCTAAACTATCCGATCTTTTATTTTTGATAGGTTCGATTCGATCCGGGGTAATAAGAACCAATATTTGACAAAGAAAAAATAAATAATAAACGATTATTTTTTATACCTTTTAAGAATTAAAAATATCTGTTCTGAATAGCGATTTTTTAAAAGAAATTAGAAATATGCATATGCATCTTTAATAGATATTTTTTTTAAAGATTTCAGCATCTACAATGGAAAAAAAAATTGAAAATTATTCTCCAGTCCTGCTAATATTCTCAGTAGATTTCAGAATTAGGAACAATAATTTAAAAGGTAAATTTCAAAAAATTAGAATATTTATTTATGAAATCAAAAGTTTTTTTTAAAAAAAAACATTTTTGGCGAGATTCCGAAATAATCTTTCTTACCTCGAGTGATTTAAAATTTCGGTTTGACCGAACCGAGTTCAAGATCATGTCTGTCTGAACGGTCTGTGATTGATCGGATTCGGACAGTTCCATGCAGGGCTATCTCTTATCCCAAAATCATAGTTAGCCCGAATTTTCGGCGAAATATACAAAAACAGCATATATTGTATGCTTTTCGCGGCGAATTCGCGCTAACTAACGAATGAGGGGATAATCGGGTTATTTAGTTTGGAAAAAAAATATATATCATATGAGATTAAGGAAGCTACTTATTAGGATTTGTCAATGTAGTTTTCCATAAAATAATGAATTTTAATTATTTATAAAAAATTTGATTTTAATATTTTGGCGGAAATTTCAAAAATTTTTCCTTTATTTTTACCTTCATAATATTTCGAATATAAAATAATAATTTTCTTTATTACGTTATAAAGTTTAACAATTTTTATCTAGAAAAAGTTGTCCCAAGAAATTATCTTTTAATTCGATTATAAATATAGTCGGTTAACCGCTCAGTTTCCTATAAGAAACTTGGTATAACAGCTTTGGGCTTACAATAGCTTTAAAAAATGAAGCTATTTCTCCACTATAATTATAACCAGGGTTGTTAAAAGATACTTTTTAAATGGATCTAGATACAGATACATCGTCTAAAATAATATCTAGATACCGATATTTTAATCAAAAATTTATCTAGATACGGATATCACATTTTTATATCTATATACAGGATATAGACATCAACTCTGATTATATAACAAAAAATATACATATATGCAATTCTGTAAGTGGGAAATTTTCCTCAAATTTTTATTTTCACTATTGAATCAATTTTATGGTAATAAGTGTATTATAATATAATGATTGTTAACATATAGATAACCCTAAATTAATGGATTTTTTATTATTTCATTTTTTTTTTTTAAAAAAAGAAGGTAAAAACCAGTAATAAAAATACTTTTATAATCTGGCCAAGGTTATAAAATAAATAAAATAATACGTTTGAAAAATAATAATAAATTCCCCTTGTTTGAGATGAATAATTTTGTATATTAAACTACAAAGATTATTATTCTCAATATATATTATTTTTTTTTCAAAGGTATATTAATTAAGCCAGACATAATTTATTAAATATGTCAATCCTTAATCCTAACCCATCCTTAACCCTAACAAAACCGAAGAGATTTGTTCCTCAGTCTAGGTCAGTAATGTTGAAGTCACATCTGTCATCTGTTGATAATTTTTCTTGTAACATCAATCTAATTATTTTTTTTAAAAAAATGATAGTAAAAATTTTGGAGGTATTTTATTCTTAGAATTTTTATCCGATTGCCATAAACTATTATGAAGTCTGAACCGCATCTCTTGGTATAAGCTGCCTATAATCTAACAATACGAAGATCATAATTAATTCGTCATATACTCTTTATATACCAATAATATTAAAAGTAACACGCTACATTTTGTAAGTAGCGATTGGTAGCATCGATACTTTTATGTTTAAAAAACTAATTAATAGCGTCGTTACATTTTCGAGTAACTTAATCTAAAATTAACACTTATATTTAGCTACTTAAATAAAAAAAAATTATATCAATTAAATTTACTCAAATTTTGATTTGATAAAATCTTATTCGTAGTCATAATATTATAGAGATTTTACTTTAGTAAAGGCAAAACAAATAGTGTGATCTTTGCGATAAATCATAGGAACAAGCTTCCAAAATATTTGAATTAGGCAATATTTATCTTGGCTAAAATATTAAGATAGCCGTTTTTTTTAAAAAATCCGCTATTAGCAACTCTTGACAATATAAATTAAATATAAAAC